AAATTTACACCTCAATCACTAACATCAAGGGACATTGGAAGGTTTCCATGTCTTCTGTAGTCTGAAATTGAATGAACAAACAATTTAGATGCATTGGTAAGTACTGGCGATTAGAATGTGAAAAATACAATAAAGAAGGATTAGTAGTTAGGAAATGGCCTTGGTGACAGAAACAAGGATGGAGATCATATGAAGGAATTTTGTATGACCTAAGATTTACTCATGGCATATATCTTTTTCGGAAAAAACCCTCCAACATAATATACAAGAATTCAATTGATTCCAACTTTGGGAAAGAGACAGTGGAGAAATTAAATATTATCAATGAGGACAAAGCTAGTGACAAACTGTAGCAAAGTAAATAAATTACTGACATGGAAATACAAGTGAAAACCTTAGAAAAGTCCTGTTCTTGGGGTGGGAAGGGAGAAAAGTGCAACAATGAATAACTGGAAACCCTAAGAAACCCTAAGTCTCTGTAAACGTTCATAAAATTAATTTTAAAAAATAGCAAAAAACACCCCCCCAACCTGAAATGAAAAAAAAAAAAAAAAAGGAAAGAAAGAAAAGTCCTGTCCTTGTTGAGCCTCAGAAATCTAATCTATAAAACAGGAACAATTTATTTGCAGGCTTGTTATGAGGATCAAATTAAATATCACTCTCAAAGCACTTGAAACAAGGTGCTACATATTAATTTTATTGTGTCTAGACATTTTATGGGTGACTTACATATATCATTTATATCTCTGGCCAAGTATAATCCTTTAATTTTCTTATCTTTCCCAGTCTTTCCTATTTCTGTTGAACCATCATCAGTTACTTGGTGATTTAGATTCCAAAATTAGGGTTTTTTCTTTATACTTTTTTCTCTCACACTTCATTTATCTATTATCAGATTTTCTGATTCTAAAGCAATACCCAAGTTGTCAAAGACTCTAAATTCCTATGGGGACCAGTCTCAGCCCTCTCCAGCGCATAAGTACTTTCACAAGAATGTGAAAGGCTCTGCATACTGTTGATCACAGCAATATCCTGGCTCCTAGAACAGTGTCTTGCTCTTAGTAGACTTTGGCTATATATGTCTTGAATGAGATCATGTTACAACAAAGCTTTCAAGTAGGATCTATTATCTCTACATATGTAGTTGAGGAAATGGGCTTGTAGTGATCAAATAATTTACCGAAGGTCACAACAAATAGACCTAGATTCACTGTGCTGCACTGCTGGTCTACCTTGGCTTATACAGAGTAAATTAGGATTCTTTTTTTTTTAAGGATAGTATTTCATTACTTTCCCATGAAGATTCACAAAGTAATTTAGTTTCTATGTAACAATTTCTACACAAATTTTTCAGTTATATTTTTCACAGGTGATATTAATTCTTTTTTTGGCTAATTTGTATTTTAGGTGACCTCAAGGTTTAGCTTCAGTTCAAGATTTGAAGAGAATCTGGATATCTTTTTGCAGAAAATTGAAACACAATCCATACTTCACACAATATACAAAAACTGCCTCAAGGTGGATCAAGAAGGTTGTTGTTGTGTACCATTGGTTCGGAACCAACCTATAGCTGACCCTCTGGTGGGTTTTTAGAAGCAGTTAATCACAAGGGAGGAGACTGTCCATCCTTCTCCTGAGAAGCAGCTTGTGGCCTCAAACTGTGTGCCTTCGGAATTGCAGCGCAGCTCTTTGCCACTAGGTTACCAGAGCTCTCATAGGCATAGAAAGAGAGAGAAAGAAAGAGTGAACGCGCGAGTGACACACACACACACACACAGAGAGAGAGAGAATGAACATAAGCATAATAGGCATAAACCCTAAAAAAAAATATAAAAATAATGAAGAAAAAAGTCAGGTAAATGTAGGGACACTAATCTTTAACATAAATAGGCTTCAAATATAAAAGAAAATGTGCAATCAACAGGGGATAAACTAGATAATTGAGACTTCTTTAAAAATCAAACTCTAAGTGAATAAAAAAACTTCCCCCCAAAAAAACCCACCACAAACAAAAACCAAACAAACCCTATGGGGCATTTATGAAATTGGATAAGGAACACTCCAGAGTGCCAAAACGCATGGATGTGAGTTTCAAGAAAGAGTAAGGTGTACTTGAGCAAGGCCATGATATTATCAATTGTTTCCTATGCATCTGAAAGTTGGACAATGGATAAAGATCACCAGAGGGTGGTAGGGAAGAGTGTGTGTTGTCTTGGCCACCTATGATTCTTTGTTTTGGCTATTATGATAAGGTCACTCCTTTGAAGAGGTTTAATTAGTGTAAACTATTCCATTGATGGGATTGCTATGAGTGGCCAATTTGTTGAATAGGAGTTTCATTGGAGTGTGGTTTACAGCAACTATACAAGGAACTCTGGTGAAGATAGTTTGCTTTTGGCTCAGTTTCCACCCTGTATCTGATTCCTCACCTCTCTGCTTCACTTATCTGCTGACTTATCAGCCTCTGAGCATACATACTTCAGATCTTGTACAAGCATGCAAGTAATTTCTTGTGCATAAATCTCTCCCAGTTATATTGATTTTGTTTCTCTAGAGAACCAAGCCCAAGATAAGGAGAACAGGAAGGTATTATTTACATTAATTTGTATACTGCTATGAATAATTAAAACAATGGTATTTTCATTAAAACACCTTTTTAGGGGAAAAAAGACTTCTCAAACATGTAAAAAGAAAACCTACAAACTGGGGGAAAAATACTTGGCAATGACACATCTGACAAGAGGTTTCTCTCTAAAATTTCTGGAAAACTTCAATACCTCAACCAAGAAAAACACAAACAACCCAATTACAAAATAGGCAGGAGACAAGAAAAACATCTCATCAACGATGACATTCAGAAAGCCAAGAAACACACAAAGAAAAGTTCAAAATCATTAACAATTAGCAACATGCAAATCAAAACAACAATGAGATATCATTTCGCCCCAGCCACAATAGCAAAGTTCAACAAGATGTCAGACAACAAATGTTAGATAATATGGAGACTGGAATTTCTGCTAGTTGCAATGTAAAAATGATGCATCCACTATGGAAAGCAGTTTGACACTTCCTTACAAAGTTGAGAACAGAAATACCATTTGATCAGAAATCCCACTATTTTGTATATACCCCAAAGATCTGTGACATTTGTATTATTATGAAAAGCTAAAGAAAGGTTTACACATAGATAGAATCATCCTTGAAGAGGAGTGAAAATTAATAAAAATATAAGTTGAGTGAAGGGAAAGGCAATGTACAATAAGGAGTTGACCAGACTTTGTAATTAATTAATTATCAAACCTTAATCAATTATAATTAATGTCATAAAAGAAAATGTGTATGAATGATTGAATGAAAAACCAATATGATTTATAAACTTTAAAATGTTGACTTTTTTTAAAGGAAACAAAGAATTTAAGACCACAGTACTCACAGGTGAGCCAATTTGTTATGTAGCCACAAGGTGACCTTAGGGGTTAACTTCAGTTTAAGGTTTGAAGAAAATTTCACTCAGTAGTGTCAGAAATCCAGTCTCAACCAGCCCAGTAGGTCTCTTTCTTACTTTTCTTTTCTAAGAATTTGAGGGTCTATTCCACATCATTCCCTCATTCTATCCGAGTTCATTTGTTGTGATACTGGTTAGAATGAATGGTTCATAGTGGTAGTAAGGCATTATCTAGTTCTTCTCATCTCAGGGTAGGTAAGTCTGTAGTTGATGTAAATGATTTGTCCTATAGAGAAGAAATTATAGTTGAATGCCTCAAGCTGAAAACTTATCCCCAAATTTCTCTCTGAATGAAGTTCTATCTTTTCACACCATGTTATGAGCCCTGCTTGATTTGGCTTCCCCCAAGTTTCACCTCTCCTCATAAACCAACTATAATGAATTTTTTTGGAAGAGCTCTGCATGAAAATGAGGTGCTTTCGTTTCTCAGCAAATTACATGAAATACCCTGCTTCAAATCATCTGGAACACCTTTCCTACTTTCTCAATTCTGAGAGATTATAGCAAAAAGTACTTTATCCCAGCTGGAATCACTCTGTCCTAAAATTTCTTTTCTATTTTTGCCAGTCTCTAGTCTTTGTCAACACCACAGTTCAAATAGTCAGTCGTTCTTCAGTTTTTACTTATTGCCCAAATTTCATAGGCATACGAAGCAAATGAAAATACTATGGCTTGAGTAATATGCATCCTAGTCCTCAAAGTGGCATCCTAGCTCAATTTAAAGAGCTTCCTTGCACATTTGCCGAACGCACTGTTACTTTATTTCTTTACCGCTGTTGCTATGGACAGTGATTGTTACACACTATCGAGTCGGAATCGACTCACAGCGGGTGTCCAGAGGCGGCAAAGCGCCCATCTTCCTCCCCAGAGCAGTTGTGTATTCGAACAAGCCTATCTTCGGTTTGGCAGTGCAGCTTCTTACCACTAGGCCACCAAAGACTGCTCAAATATTTCTTGTGGGATGAGGGTGGGGGACCTTCAAACTACTGTCTGTTCCGTTAGCGGACCAATACACTACTCCACCCGGGCTCATCTGAAGTATAAAAACCTTCAAAATTCTAGTCTGCTTTAAATCACACGGTAGTTGATCATTGCCATCCAGCTGAAACTGACTCACAGCTGATCCCTTTGGCGGCTTTTCTGAAGCCATAAATCGTACTGGAAGAGACTGCTCATCTTTCTCTTACAGAGTCGCTGGTGGATTCGAACCGCCACAGAAGCGAAGTCTTTGGACTAGCAGTGCCCACAAAAGAGCGCTCAGTCAGTAACTGGAAGAGGGGAAGTTCAAAAACAAGGCTTTTCACACACCACTTCCGGACCACGCCTGTTCTCCCAGTTCTTCCCTCCCGCCAGCTTCTGCGGGCTTTACGTACTTCAGTCCGCGCCATCTCTGGGACTAGTTTGGCCTGCTACGGCCGCCGTAGTGCGTCCACTCCGTTGCCGTGGGAAACGACCCTAGACCCGAGAGGGTGGGAGCTCGCGAAGACATTTCCCGCCGGCGGGAGCTGAGAGTGTGGCTGCGAGGGTGACTGGGAAGCGTCGGGGCCCAGGGCTGCAGCAGTATGGCGGACCAGCTTTATTTGGAAAATATAGACGAATTTGTCATGGATCAAAACAAGATCGTAAGAAGCCAGGGATGGGGAATTCGAGGGGGCATTTGTGTTTCTTCCGCTTGTGAAGGCGGCGCGGAGCCTTGACTCTGTTTGGGAGACAGGTCCCCTCAGTCCTGGAGTCTCAAGGCTTTCGAAGGCTCGTCCGAGAGGTTCTGGGTCGCGCGCCCCCTGCTCCTTGGTTGGGCAAGCGGGCCGCTCTGCACTGGGAAGGGGTCGCAGACGGGGATCCATTGGCTTTCTAAGCGTATTTCCAAGTCAGCCCTGTGCCTTATGGAGATGGTTTAAAGCCCCGCGTTTACAATCGCGGAAGTTATTTCTTAACTGGTGTTAAGTGGCAAGTTTAACCGCCCACCAGCTAATTTTCTCTTCCTGGAAAATCTAAGTATCGATAGAAGCTTGGCCTGCCTGCCAAGCTTGGTGTAAACGAACCAATGAGCTGTGGATATGAGTGCACATTCCCGATCACAGTTGCTTAATGCCTACTGCGAGTTAGCGCAATTTGAATCCACTTTGCTTTTAATATTTACGACGACTCACTCAGAGAGGTACTAGTGTCTGACCATAGAAGGGGGCATTGACGCCGAGAGGCAAAATAATTGTCTAGTTTATGGCTTAACAAGAGATAGACGATTTTTAAACCTAGATCTTTTCTACACCAGCTCTGTGAGCCTTGTGGACAGAAAGCGATGCTACCAAGCTAAAGGTGGGCGACTTTAATCTGCCCTCAGGCCTGGTTTTAATTGTTTTTGGTCAAACATTCTTTTAAGTGGTTTAGCACTGGCCTGTCCATTTGCTGTTCAGAGGTAACTTGTGTTTGCTATAATGCTAAACACTGTGACGCAGATGTGTCAAAATGTGATAATGGTTACCCATGGGGTACAGTGTTTGGTGGAGCTCCCCGATTAAAACAAGCTTGGAAGCAGGAGTGGCTCCCCGATTAAAACAAGCTTGGAAGCAGGAGTGGCATCCACTTCCAAAACGGCTTGCCTCCAGAAACTATGAACTTGGAGAAATGATGAAAGTTATACTAGTGTTCCTGTCTTTCATTCATAAGGTTGCTATGAGTCATCTAGATTCAAGGCGCTTAACAACAACAACAATGCTTTCTACATTATACATACTTTACCTAAGCAGTGTAGGTCTTAACAGTTTTTTGTAAGCTCAGTATTCCACGTTGAAATGGACTTTGGGGAAAAAAGAGTAATAGACATGGAATAATCAAGACTCACCCCTGTAGCCTCTGATAAAATATTCATCCACTTTATTCCCTGACCCCTGTACTACCTGTATCTTTTACTGTGTTAGCTTTTCTTTAGAAATTTGAATAATTCATTCACATGTAAGTAATCTAACTTCTTTTTTTTATTAAATTTTATTAGTTTTAATGAACATTTACAGAGATTTTGGGTTTTCATTCATTCATTGTTGCACCATTCTCTCTACCCTCCTCCCCAGTTTGTTCTTCTTCCCCCGCCATCCAAATGTCTGTTTTAATTGTCCAATTGCCACAGTGCTTGTCAAAGTCAGTTCTGATTAATCTCCTTTGTCAGTGTGTCCTTTGCCATTCCCTATCACTCCTCCCTGAGAGAGACTTCACCCTGATTCATAAGGAAAAGGGGATGGCGTATTTTCTTAGCTACTTCTGCTGAAAAGGGACGCTGTGCACCCTGACACCCTATTCTAACTTCTGAGTGAGTCTTAAGATAGTTTTGGGTGGTTGCCCCAGAAAAAGACGAAGTACAGAGAAAGATCTTAATGAAAATCTTAAAAATGTGAAGAGGAAAATGAGTGCATTTTCTGACTAAATGTATCAAGCCTTTTCAAAAAAAAACCCTTTTTTTTCATTAATGTTTGTAAGAGAAATATCCTGATCTTTTTATCTGATTAGAATGTTGGTTCTTGCCAAAACTAGGATGGCAGATATTGGAATTTATATGTGATGATCCTGTAAGAATAGGTCTCCTTAGGAGTAGAACCTTGGAACTAAGCAGTGCTCTGGGGACATCTCATAAAATAATTTTTCTTGCAGGTGACATACAAATGGTTGAGCTATACATTAGGAGTACATGTTAACCAGGCCAAACAGTAAGTCCAATTTACTACTAATTTTAATCTCATTGGAATTTTTTGTTTTGCTTTTAGCTCTTTAGGTAGCCTCTAAATTAGAGCTAACATCAGTACTCATATCCTTCTCTGGGCAGATAACCTTTGCTGTATTTTACTACTTTTGTTTATTTCAGAAGATAAGTGGTCTGGTACACAATTATGCAGTAATAAATTTACAGCACTTAAAGTCTTATCTTCTGGCTGATGTTACTTTGTTATTTTGAACCTATAAAACAGACCATCAAATTCTGCTTTGATCTTGGATTTTAATGTGTATTATCTTAAAATTTGACAGAAGCTTCTTAAGCCTATCTCTGAATGTTTTTGAAGCACTTGATAATGAGGTCAGCAGGTGTTTGACACAAGCTGTGTAACAAACTGGGAGAGGTATTTAAGTGAAATAAAAACAAAACAAAAAACCCACAAAACCCACAATGGTGAGATTATTATCCTTGAAATGAAAAAATTATTTGCATGAAAGTTTATAATCATTACTTTTTCATTCAGTTATTTATAGACATTTTATTTTATGACATTAATTACAATTAACTTTTCTTGAATGTTGCTATATAGTCTTTTGGCTGAAATGTAATAGTTCATTTTGAGACCAGAAGTGAAAAGGCAAGTTTTTAATGAAACTTTTTTTTTACTTAGAAAAATGTTTAGATATTGTGTATGTTGCAAGTAAGGGAAGGAATAAACAGCCTGAGGCTGTGTTTGTTTGTGTGTATATTCTTGTTGCTATTGTTGTATGCCATTGAGTCAAAATCAACTCGGAGGGTCTGGCTGACTCTCTGGTGGGTTTTCAGAGGCTGTAAATTGTGCAGGAGGAGATTGACCATCTCTCCTATGGATAGCTGGTGAATTTGAATTACCTGCCTTTTGGGTACTAGAGGAGTCCTTTACTAACTAGGCCACCAGAGCTTCACTGTGTATCTGTGCTTATGTATAGATTTATATGGATGTATTAATAGACTTTAAAAAAAAATACTTAGTAAATTGCTTTTTGCTAAAGATGGTCTGATTTTATCTATAGAAACTTTCTTTGAGTTGTAGGAATGGTTCGGTGTTAGAAAACCTCTGTTCTCTGGAATGAGTCTATTTGTCTTTGTTTGAATTGGTTTTGGTTAAGTCTACGATTCTTGATTTTTGACTTGTGTTTGTTTATACCTTTGAGACCTAAAATGCTTGGTCTGGGGAAAGATTTGGAGTAGTTTTGACTCTCTTAGATTGCTATTGCTAACATTCATTCTGGTCCAAACCCAAGAACAAATCCTAAGTAGTACTCCTACTTCTACCTTAAGTCTTTCTACCTTTTCCTAACTCTCTGTCCTATCACCCTGTTACTTTCTTTCTGGCTTCTTTATTAAGATGTAAAAGGTACTAGTGGCTTAGTGGTTAAGTGTTGACTGCTAACTGAAAGGCTATCTGTTTGAACTCACCACCCCTAACTATAATATCAACCTGTAACTTCTTTTCATAATTATAAAAAACAGGTTTAATGAGATAGACAGGAGCCCTGGTGGCATAATGATAAAGACCAATGTGTGTTTGATCCAGGCTATGGTGTTTTCAGGTGCTTGCTGAAACTGAGGAGGACCTGAAGCTCTTGCTGCAGAAGGTCAAGGACTGCAGCCTTCAATATGGATTGAAACTCAACATCAAGAAAACAAAGATTATCACGACTGGGCCAATTGTAGCATCGTGATAGACAGTGAAGAGATTGAGATTGTTAACAGCTTCAGTTTGCTTGACTCCACAATCAACACTCTTAGTACCAGCAGCCAGGAAATTAAAAGATGAATTGCAATGGGAAAGTCTACTGTCAAGGACCTCTCCAAAGTACTGAAGAGCAACGATGTCAGTCTTGAGACTAATGTGTGCCAGATCCAGGCCAGGGTCTTTGCAATTACTTGCTGTGCATCAGAGAGCTGGACAATGAGTAGGAATGCTAGAAGGAGAGTTGATGCCTTTGAGCTGTGTGGCTGGAGAAGAGTATTCAGTATACCCTGGACTGCTAGAAGAACAAACAGGTTCATTCTAGAGAGTATGAGACTAAACTGCTCCTTGGAGGCAAGGATTCTGAAGCTTCCTTTGACATACTGTGGACATGTTGCAAGAAGGGACCAGTCCTTGGAGAGGGATGTCATGCTTGGGAGGGTGGAGGGAAAGTGCAAGAGAGAAAGATCCTCAATGAGATGGATTGATTCACTTACTGGGCTAATGGGAGTAGGTGTGTCAGATCAATAAGATTGGCACAGGATAGAGCAAGGTTTAGGGCTGTTGTACATAGGGTTGCTATGAGTCACAGGTGACTTGATGACACATAACAACAAAAACCTATGTGTTTGAAAGTTGGACAGTGAATAAGGATGACAGAAGAATTTATGCCTTTGAGCGTTGGTGTTGAAGAAGAGTGCTGACTGTCCATGGACTTCCGAAATAACAAACAAGTATGTCTTGGAGGAAGCGCAGCCAGAGTGCACCTTAGAGGCAAGACTGGCAAAGGTTCATCTTACCTCCTTTGGGCATGTTTTCAGGAGGGGCCGGACCCTTGGGAAAAGACCACATACTGGGAAAGTTAGAGGGTCAAGTAAAGAAGAAGACCCGCAACACATAATGGGACTAATAATAATCAGAGATGGTGAAGCAACTTCAGCTTGCTTGATTCCACAATCAACCCTCTTGGCACCAGCAGTCAGAAAATTTTAAAAGACAAATTGCTTTGTAAAGTCTGCTGTCAGGGACCTCTCTAGTGTACTGAAGAGCAATGATATCAGTCTGGAGACTAAGGTGTGCCTGATGCACACAATTACTTTCTATACATCCAATAGCTTGACAGTAACTAAGGATGATAGAAGAAGGATCAATGCCTTTGAGTTGTGGTATAGGAGCAGAGTGTTGAACATACTGTAGACTGCCAGGAGATCAAACAGGTCTATTCTGGAGAGGGTGAAACCAAGCTCCTTTTTGGAGGCAAGGATTTTGAAGCTCTCTCTAACATGCTTTGTGGCCAAGAAGGAACAGTCCTTGGAGAAGGACATTATGTTTGGAAGGGTGGAGGGACAGTGCAGGAGAGGAAGACCCAGAATAAGATGGATTGACACAGTGACTGGAGAAATGGTATTAGGTGTGTTGGAGACAATGAGATTGGCTCAGGATAGGGCAGGGCTACATAGGGTCGCTGTGAGTTGCAGGCCACTTGATGGCACGTAACAACAATAGCATGAAGCAATTGAAAGATTTGGATCACACCTTAGTCTTTAAACTGACATCCTTGCTCTTTTACAATCACTGTCATTGCTGTTGAGTCAGAACAGACTCTTAGGTGACCTGCTACAGTTTTTCTGAGGCTGTAGACAGCACAGGATTAAATTGCTCATCTTCTATCTAGCTGCTAGTAGACCACAATAGAGCTGGTTTATGTTAGCAGCATGACTTCCTCTGGACTTGTTCTTTAGTATTTTGAAAATGAAAAGGTCCTTGATACCAGATTTTCACAGTGAAACACATTGATTTCTTGACTGCTTTTTCCATGGGTTTAAATGTGGATCCGAGTAAAAGGAAATTATTGACAACTTTAATCTTTAATCTTTTTTCGTAATGTTGCCAGTTCATCTTGTGAGGAAGATGGGTAATTTCCTCCTGGAAATTTATAGCCTCTGAAAACTTGATGGAGGATTAGCTGTCATTAGGAGTAATTTCTGACTAGATGGCAGTGAGTTTGAATTTTAAGTTATATTGAGGTATAATCCATCTCAAAAGCTAGAGCCTTTGATTGTCTTCAGTAACTATTCCAAGTCTTCACTTTTTATAAGCAAAGATGTGTCATCTGCATAATGCAGGTTGTTGATGATGCCACCTTTTTCAATCCTGATGCCGCATTCTGCATATACTCCAGCTTCTCAGACTGTTTTCTCTGCACACTTATTTTTAGACTTAATTTCTTTCAGACATAACACAAATTGCTTCAGTCACTGTCTGTGTAGCAGCAATTCTATTTAGAAAATTCGAAGGACTGTCAAATTTAACATCAAACTTAAAATTGTAAATTTAAACTTGATGAGGTTAAAGCTCTTACTGTGTATTCTTTTGTTTGGAACAGGTTGCTGTATGATTATGTTGAAAGGAAGCGAAAGGAAAATTCAGGAGCACAGTTGCATGTCACCTATTTAGTGTCTGGAAGTCTCATTCAGAATGGCTATTCTGTAAGTTCTCAGAATTTAAAAATGTGCTTTAATGTGTTTGAGCTGTGAACTGTTACATGATAGGAAAAAGAAAAATAAAAGATTAAGTTCTGTGGAAAAATTACTCCTTGATTTTTAAAATATTTGCAAACTTAAACTTCCTTATAGTTTAGACATTATTTTGGCTATAAAACAGACAGTATCTTTATTATTATGTAATTTTCCTAGACTACAAGACTTTAGGAGACTGCTTCTCTTATTTTCTATTCCTTATTCCTTGTAAGTATATGGGGTAAAATGGACCTAGCCTGTTACATCTTTTGCCACAAAGTCAAATGTTAAAATATTTTGTTTGTCTGGTTTTGTGTTTGATGGGATTTTTAAAATTAAATTTTATTTTTATTTTGAGCATTTGTTCTGCTATACTTAAGTCAGCGGGCCTGAGCTGAGGACAAAGTCATGATGGGATTTTTAAAATTAAATTTTATTTTTATTTTGAGCATTTGTTCTGCTATACTTAAGTCAGCGGGCCTGAGCTGAGGACAAAGTCAGGGTGCTGGGGCAACACAGGGTAGTAGCATGGACTGGGAATCTTTATCCTCATATGCTTTGTGTGTGCAATTCTATATGATGTCTAGTTATTGACATCCCAACACAACGCTTCTTCAAATCTGCTTAGTTTTCTTTATTTCCATGGTTCTCTTAGGGACATAGGGGTTATTATATCTCTTCCCAAAAATAAGATATTTCTTCCATGTTCTTATTATCCCAGACCTTCTATATGAAGCAAGGGTCTTTTGCTCCCAAATAAGGTTTCACCAGTTTCATAGAACTTGGCAAAAGGTCAGGGCTTTTTAAGAGATCTAGTAATATAGCAATTGAGAGAGATAGACACATCCCTGCCGTATATCCTTCCCAATTTTCAACCATGCAGTGTTTCCTTACTCTGTTCTGGCGACTGCCTCCTGGTCCAAGGAAAGGTTTCACATAAGCACAATCAAGTATTCTGGGATTCTCAGAGTTAGCCACAGTTTATTGTGATCCACAAACACATTAACAGAAGAGTTTTTCCTTGCCTTTTGATTTTCCCTCCAGCTTATTGGCTCAGAACTTTTATTTGATAAACACAATGAATTTATCTTTGTGTAATAGAGTCCCAAGCATGTGAGATTTAAAATCATAATGTCATCTTATTACATGGTATTGAGTCGTTTGTGACTCATAACAACCCTATGCACAATAGCTCTGAACCCTGCCCTACCATGAGTCAATCTCACTGTCTCTGACACACTTGCCCCCATTGCCCCAGTCACTGTGTCAATCCATATCATCCGAGGTCTTCTCTCCTGTGCTGTCCCTCCACCTTTCCAAGCATGATGTCCTTCTCCAAGGACTGGTCCTTCCTGACAACATGCCGAAAGTATGTGAGATAGAGCTTTAAAATCTTAGCCTTCAAGGGTCCACTTGGTTTCACCCTCTCCAGGACAAATCTATCTGCTGTCTTGGCAGTCCATGGTGTGTTCAGTATGCTTCTTGAGGATTACAACTGAAAGACATCAATTCTTCTGTCATTCTTAGTCATTGTCCAGCTATCTGATGTAAAGCAAGTAATTGCAAAGACTAGTGCCTGTTTCAGGGACACCTTAAGTCTCTAGACTCACATTGTCTCTCCTAAGCACTCTGGAGAGGTCCCTGACAGCAGATTTTCCTAATGCAATTCATCTTTTGATTTCCTAACCGTTGATGCCAAGAGTGTTGATTATGGAACAAGCCGAAATTGACAGTCTCAGTCTCTTCTCTGTTTATCATGGTGCTGCCAGTTGGCCCAGTGGTGAGACTCTTTGTTTTTCTTGATATTCAGTTTCAATCCATATTGAATACTGCATTTCTTGACCTTGTGCAGCAAACACTTCAGGTCTTCTTGGGTTCAGCAAGCAAGGTTGTATCATCTGCATAATGCAGGTTGTTGATGAGTCTTCTTCCAATTCTGATGCCACATTCCTCCTCATAAAGTCCAGTCTCCTCAAATGATTTGTTCTGTATATCGATAGATTTAAAAAGTTTAGAGACAGGACACATTCCTGATGGCACACCTTTCCTGATTTTGGACCATGCACTGTTTTCCTTGCTCTTAGTGATTTTAAAGTATCTTCTTTTAATTTGTATTTTTCTACACCACACCCTTGAGAAAGGCCTTTTCAGAGATTACTAGCAAACAGCCCAAACATGCTTTTTAATCCTAATAAAATTTGTATGTATGTAGTATAAGTGCATACGTTATGCACTGTAGAGTCAGAACAGACTCCTACCTGAGCCACCAGCTGGTTTTCAGAGACAGTAAATTGTATGAGAGGGGGGTTCCCCATCTTTGTTCCACTGAGGAGCTGGTGGATTTGAACTGCATGCCTTTGAATTGTCAAATTCCTTACCACTAAGCTATGGGAGCTCCCTTGTGTGTATGTGTGTGTATATATATTAAAAATACTTTTTTATTGAAGCCTAATTAACACATAGTAGAATGGGAAAATCTTAGGTTTATAGCATGTTGAAATACTACAAATAGATACATTCATGTAATCATTATCTATATAAAGATGTAAAGCATTTTCATCATACTGTAACGTACCTTTTTCCTTCATAATGAAGATCTTGCTCCACTTGTACCAAGATAATTGTGGTGAAATTCATATAAGAATCATTTAGTATGTACCCTTTAATATGTCTCTTAGGTCAGCATATTTTCAAAAATCATATACATTTCTTCAAAGAGAGAATAAGATATAATTTATTCCTATCTAGTAAAGTTTTCTTGAGTTCTGTTACATTACCTTCATTTCATTAACTTTGTTTTAACTTTTGAGTCACATATATTCAATTGTATACAGAAATAGAGGGCACAGTGTAATGCATCAATTACTTCTAATTGGCTTCTCCATTTATCAATAAATGACCAGTCTTGTTTCAGCTATTCCACCTCCCACATACCCTATCTCAACCCTAGGATATTTTTAAACAGATTTCTAAATATCGTAACATTTTAACATAAATTCTCTAATATGTAACTGAAAGATTAGACAAAACCACATTAGAATCATACTTACAACAATAATAAAAACTTATCTTAGACATTTCAGTGTGTAGTGCTCAGACTTCTTATTTTGTAATTATTTTGCAGCTGATTTATTCAAATCATTGTCTAGACAAAGGCTTCACAATTCGTTTAATCTCATTTGAGTCTTAATGTATTCAATTTTCTGATCAGTCTTACCTTTTTTTGCTCCCCATCACAATTTATTTGTTAAAGAAACCAAGTTATATGTTGTAAATAATTTTCTGTGTCTTAGATTTTGCTGGTTGCTTTATCTTTGTGGTATCCTTTAACTTGCTTCTCTGTTTTGTTTCTTGTAAACTGGTATTTAAATTTAGAGCTTTATCAGGTTAGCTTTGGGTGCAAGTCCAGTATAAAGCAAGAGTACTTTATCCTGTAGTATCACCTCTGCAGGCACATAACATTTGGTCGATTAAGGTTTTGTAGTATTAGGGATTATCAGCCTTATTCATCCTTTTAAAAATTTCATATCATTTTCTAACTGGGGGTAGGAGTGGGGTGGGTGGAGAGAAAAGTGCAACAGTGAATGAATGGAAATCCAAATGTAAATGTTCACTGAAATTAATGAAAAAAAATTCCATATAATTTTCTAATGATTTTAGCTGGCGTTGATTTTTTTAATTGTCTAGAGCAACTTGGATGGAGTTCTGATGGTACAGTGGTTAAAGCACTTGGATGTCAACCTACAGTTTGGCAGTTCTAACCCATTAACATCTCCAAGGGAAAACAGTGTTGACAGTTCGCTTCTGTAAAGGCTGCCTTTCCTTTCTTGTTCTGTACCATAAAATTAGATCTGACTGGCACGGGAGGAGCTTGCCTTCCTTCTCCAGAAGAGCATCTGGTAAAATAACTGTCTTTTTGTTTGTTTGCTTGTTTGTTTTACTTCTGTAAAGACTGACAACCTTGGTAACCCTATTGTTGTTGAATGCTGTCAAGTCAACTATGAATCATAGCAATCCTATGAACAACAGGTTGAAACCTTGGCCTATCCTGCACTATCCTCATGATTTTCAGCATGTTCAAGCCCATTTTTACTGACTGTGTCAGTTCATGTTATTGAGGATCTTCCTCTTTCTCACTGACCCTCTTACTTTCCTCAGAATGATGTCTTTCTCCCCCAGGACTGGTTCCACTTGACAGCATGCTAAAAGTATGTAAGATAAAATTTCACCATCCTTGCCTCCAAGGAGCGCTCTATATTGCTTGGGGTATGATTCCTCATCTTTCTTCTGTGTAGCAGCTGCTGGATTTAAACCTCCTGCTTTTGGGTTGGCAGTACAACTCCTTACCCACTAGGCCACTAGAGATCCCTTTCTCCATGAAAAGTGTGTGTGTGTGTGTGTGTGTGTGTGTGTATGTGTGTGTTGGTTTCTTTTTAAATTCCTTTGGCAATTTGCAGTATATTTAGTACTTTTCCTAGCACCACAATTCAGACATCGTAGTTGTTTTTCTTTTTTTTTTTAAATCTTTCTTATTCATTATTCAACTTTCACATACTTAAGTGATTGAAAATAACATGACTTTAGTCAAATGTACCTTAGTCTTTAAACTGACATCCTTGCTCTCTAGTATTTTGGAGATGTCTATGACAGCAGATTTTCCCAATGTTTATACCTTTTGATCTCTTGACTATTGCTACCATGAATGTTGATTGTAGAGCCAAGTAAAATAAAGTTGTCGACGTCAGTCTTTTCTCCATTCACCATGATTTTGCCTATTGGTCCAGTTGTGATTTTTGTTTTCTTGTTGTTTAGGTGTAATCTATATTTAAGGCTGCAGTCTTTGAGTTTTCTTTAATCCTTTAAGTTTTCATCACACTCTTTTCACTGCCTCACTTTCTGCAAGCAGGGCTGTGTCATCGGCATAAAGCAGGTTAGTGATGAGTCTTCTGCCAATCCTGGTGCCATGTTCTTCATATAGTCCAGCTTCTTTAACTGTTTGCTTGGCATACAGATTGAATAAATATGATGAATGAATATAACCTTGGCTTAACACCTTTCTTGATTTTAAACCATGCGGTATCTCCTTCTTCTATTTGAACGACTACTTTTTGATCTGTGTACGAGTTTCACATAAGAACAATGAAATTCTGTTTTGTCTTATAATCTAACATACTGCCATAGAGTCAGTTTGAATTCTTAGTAACCCTCCATTGGTTTTCTGGGACTCGAAATCTTAATCAGGAGACAGCAGTTTTCTCCTGAGGAGTGGCTGGTGGATTAGAGTTTCTAGATGCTTATGCAGCTTTTTGATTAGCAGCACAGCACACTTCATACATTAGAGAGTATGTTAGAGAGAGATAATGTTCTAATTCTGTCATTCTGTTTTTATTAGCTGAAACTTTTGTCTAAAAGAAAACTAATCCACTAGCTGCTTCTCAGGATAGAGATAGACACTCTCTTCCCATGTGAGTGGGCATCACCTATGAGTTGGTTCCCACATAATGGCACCTAACAACTAAAAAGATCATGGAGTAGGCCACCAGCTGGGGCCCTGGGTTTTTGGATGCTCTGTTTTTCCTCCTGTGCCCAACTTAACAGGCACCCACTTAATTAGGTCCACTTCTTGTATTGTTTTGAGACCAGAAAGTCAGCTTTTCTACTCTATTGCTACACTGAACTATTGTCTGGGCTGTCCAGATTTTCTCCTGAGGTATCAATTACTTTGTTGTTGAGGTTCTTATTACAAAGTTGCCTAGGTTTTGAGCAATTAGTTTCTAATACTTCCCCCCCCCCATAAGCTCTGTAATTCTTCAGTTTTGCAGAATTTGACATTTTTTAGAATGCATGAAAATATACCAGTATCAGTAATTCAAGTTTATGATTACAAACATTTTACTTAGAGATTTATTTACTTTGTTGTGTACAATTGGAATAGACTTAATAGCTGACCCTCCAGTGGATTTTCAAAGACAGTAAATTGCATGGGGGGGAGATAGCCCATTTTTTTTCCATGAAGTTGCTGATGGATTCACAGTGCATGCCTTTGGCTTGTCAGTGCATCTCCTTATTATTAAGCCACCAGAGCACCGTTTTATTTACTTTGCAAAGCAATATAGTATTGCTAGCAGTATTACCAAATACAGGTTTTTGGGTTCTCCCTTTCCCTCCCACTCCACTTTCTTTGCAGGTTTTAGTTTGTTTGTAGAATCTAATGAACTAAGCATGTGCCATTAAATAACTATGTCTTAGAGTTCTTTGAAATAATTCCTTTCTATGGTTAAGGCAGGGAGCTCTTATGGCCTAATGGGAAGGAGTTGTGCTGCCAACACAAAAGCCGGCAGTTCAGATCCACCAGCTAATCCACAGGAGAAAGACGACAGTATCCTCTCATGGAATCTGCAGCTGCTTACAACTTACTGGAGGGTCAGCTGTGAGTCAGTTCTGACTCAGCAGTACAGACACCACCAATAGCGGGAAAGCCAAGGATCCTTGGTGATACAGTGGGTGGAACACTAAGCTGCTAATCTCAGAGTTGGTGATTTGAAAACATCAGCTACTCCTTAAGAAAAAGATGAGGCAGTCTACTGATTTAGAGCTTCAGAAACCCTGTGGGGCAACTTCTGTTCAGTACTGTCATTATGAGTCAGAACTGACTTAATGGCAGTGGAGTTTTATACCTAAGTCATAAAGCCCAGTTTGGTGTCGTGGTTGGTTCGAATCTACTCAGTACCTCATTAGCAGAAAATCTTATTAGTCTGCTCCCGGAGAGATTACAACCTAGAAAACGGTAAAGGCATTGTTTTTTGCAGTGTCACGTGGGGCCCCATTAAAAAACAATTCAGCAGGACCCACTAATAACATAGTTAAGTCAACTGAATATCTAGTTAAATTCAAATTTTTTTTTCACTTTGATTTTTTTAAAAAAGTTTCCTCTTTTCCCTTTCAAGTAACTCTTTTTTGTTGTTGTTGTTTTGTTTTCTTCCATTGTTTGTTGTTATTGATGGAAATATGCGGGGGTATGTGTATACATACATATGCCTCTTTTTTTTTTTAGCTGATAATTATTTTACTTTTTTGGTGAAAATATACTCATTCAATGGTTTCTAGATAGAATGATTAGTTATTTCTTCATATTGTGTCAGCATTTTCAATATTTTTTTCCTAGTTGTTTGACTCCCATCCTTGTTTATATTTTGCATATATTTTTCATATAAGCAAACTTACTTTCATAGTACCTACCTTTGTCAGGGTGCCTATCTATGTCAGCAAGCTCTGGTGGCCTAGTGACAAGAAGCTGTGCTGCCAACCCAAAGGCACATGGTTCAAATCCACCAGCTGCTCCTCAGGAGAAAGGCATTCAGCTGCTTTGCAATTTCCTGCCTCTCAAAACCTGCAGGCAGGTCAGCTATGTGTTGGTTTTGACTTGATGGTACATAACAAGAACCTTTGTTAGATAAAAGGTTCATAGTACATGCCCTAATTTACATTTTCTGTTTTATTTTGATTTACTTAACAGTAAATATTTCCATAGTAGCTAGAGAAATAGTCATGTGGTACTATATTGATAGACTTTAGTTTATTCAGCAGTCTCTTATTGATAAAAATCATTGCTTATTACAGCGCTGTAGTAAAGTCTTCGATGTGTGCATTTTTGTGTATATTTCCCCAGTGTACTGTTTTCCTTTGTATGCTGTAGGGACCGCTCCAGGGTACTGAAGAGCAATGGTGTCACTCTGGAGACTAAGGTGCATCTGATACAGGCTATGGTCTTTGCAATCAGTTGTTATGCATCAGAGAGTTGGACAATGACTAAGGAAGATAGAAGGAGAATTGATGCCTTTGAGCTGTGGTGCTGGAGAAGAGTACCCTGGACTGTCAAGAAAACAGACAGATTCATCCTAGAGAGGGTTAAACCAGGCCGCTCCTTGGAGACAAAGATTCTGAGGCTTCGTCTCACATCCTTTGGACATGTTGTAAGGAGGGACAGGTCCTTGGAGAGGGACATCATGCGTGGGAGGGTGGAGGGACGGCACAAGAGGGGAAGACCCTCTATAAGGTGGATTGATTCAGTGACTGGGGTAATTGGGATGGGTGTGTCAGAGGCAGTGCGATTGGCACAGGATAGAGCAGTGTTTAGGGCTGTTGTACATAGGGTTGCTATGAGTTGCAAGTGACTCGACGGCACATAACAGCAACTCTTTTCCTAGAAGTAAGATTATTGGGTCAAAAGTAAATGTGAATGGACTTTTGCTTAGCATTGCTACTCTACTTTTCTTAAAGTAGAATAAAGTCTATTCTTAGCATTTATATATAGTATCATTCATAGCAATCCTCTCTTCTTTCTTACTAATAATGTGTGAGAAAGCCCGTTTCTACATATTGTCAAACTTCATTTTGGTCTTTCTTATAGGTAAGATATAACTCCTCAGTCTCATTTTAATGTGTTGTGCTTTGAGTGGAGTTGAGATCTTTTCATATTTCAGGGTGTTTTGCATTTATTTTTCTGAACTATTTATCTCTTTCTTAAAGGGTTGTGAATCATTGTTTTCTCTGTTTTTAGAAACTATAATCTGGTGTAGTCAGTAGGGGTTGCATGCAAACCCAAAGACCTCACCCCTAGAGGTACAAATTCACCAGCAGCTCCACCTGTAACTCCACAGGAGAAATATAACCAGTCTCTTCTCTTGAGATTTACAGCGTTGGATACCCAAAGGAGGGTCAGCTGTGAGTTGGGTTGAATGATAGAGGTTGCAGATATTTTCCTTACTTTGTCATTTGTTTTTGTTCTTTGCTTGAAGTGTTTATTTTGGTTACTTAAAAGTTATTTGCTAGGTTTTGTGAAGACATATATTCTGGTGTATAGTGTAAGGAGTAAACCCGATTTTCTTTGATTCCATGTGATTATGCAGTAATTCTCATTATGTCACATTAAAAATTACTCTTTTCACCACATTGTTTTAACATGCTGTATGCTTACTTTTACATTTTTTAATTGTGATTTGTGTTAAAGTGTATAAAGTATGTTGTGTTTTGTTGTCAGCCATGCATAGTTTGTTTATAGCACTAATTACGGTACATACAAAGTCTGATTGTCTACTCATTCCACAGTGTTCTTCTCCTTTATCCATTCCCATAAAGTATTCACTGTCTTTTAATTTTCTACCTCAGGCTCTCACCCTTCAGTAATCATACTAGATTGGTTCTCTCCATATGTAAACCTGTCTCTAACTTTTATAACAGTAATCTTAGCTGTATGCTTTTTCTTCCATTATAGCATTGGTATTTTATTGCTCTCCCTAACCTTATTAGGGATTTTAAAGTAAAGAAGTTAAAAATTAATCTGACTTTATTAAACTATAAAATGTATTTTATCTCCACGTAAAATTGAATTATCAGCAAGCAAAACTTTAATAGTGTACATTTTGTATTAAGCAGTAATGAATCAAAACTGTTATTTCCCTACAGTGCCACCAGGTTGCAGTAGTGAGGGAAGATAAATTGGAAGGTAAGCGTTTTACTGATTGAGTAAATTTTTCCTTTTATGACTCCAGTGTAGGTATAATAAAGTCTATTCCTAGCATTTGTAGATATTATCTTTCACTATTTGACTGAAGAATCTTATCTTTTACTAGTTTCTGAAATGTTAAAATAGATATGTTAAAATTTAATATATCTGCCTCATTTCTCATTCTAAAATGCTAACAGAAACTGACTTTGTTAAAGCACTGTTACCAAAGGTTTTAGAAACTTGTGGCAGACATGCAAACAACTATCATGAATTCTATACAAATGCCATATAGAATCTTCATCGGCTGTAAGTAAAATGATAGCTTTTAGATATGTTTTATGCTCTATAATAGCTCTTTCCTGAAGAAAATGAATACTTTTTTAGAAATCAAATTAGTTAAGTTATAAATTAAAAATTTTCACCCATTTTAAAACCATTAATGCTGTTGTGCAATTTAAAAACACAATTCAGAAGAATTTTTAAACCAGTCAGGATCTTTAAGATCTTGAACTTATGCCTCGAGACAAAATCCTGCCAGTGAAGGTTGTTTCTTACCACATTTTACTTGGTGGTGTTCGGCATGATCATAACCATTTTCTTTTTAATTCCCATAGTTTTAGGCAAATAACCCATTGACTCATTGTGAACAGAATGCAACTGCCCCATATTAAATTCAATTCTGTACCTTTTTTTTCTAAGGGAGATATATAAATCTCCTTTCTTTCTTTTGTAATTCTTACTGTCATAGTTGACTGCAGTTCATAGAGTGGAAATGAGTCCTATCCTCCGCCATCCTCACAATCTCTAATGTACCCGAGCCCCTTGTTACACTCAGGTGTTATGTTAATCCACCTTGTTGAGGATTTCCTTCTCTTTCATGAACAGCTTTACTTTTCTCAGTATGATGTCTTTTTCCAAGGATGGGCTTCTCTTGGACAATATGCCCAAAGTCAGCTGCTACATATTTTCTTCTACCTGATTGGCTGGTGGCTTTCAGCTGCTGACTCAGTGTGTGCTTTAGTCATTGCACCACCATGGCTTCATTTTTTTTTAAAAAGAAGGTTTACAAATCCTACTGGGATTTTTAATACACTCATTCATAGACATTTTGTTTTAGAATAATAATTCTTTCTGATTAATTAATTAGTTGCAGTGTCTAATGGTGGCCTTGTCGATGAGTAGTTGCACTGCTAACTTAGAGATGGTACCTCTCAGGCAGTTCAAATCCACTAGTGGCTCCATGGGAGAAAAATGGACAATCTCCTCCTATGCAGTTTACCCCCTCCAAAAACCTACTGGCGGGTCAGCTATTAGTCAGTTATAATTCAACAACAGTGAGGGAGGTGTTTTTTTTGTTTTTTTTTTTTTTTTTTACTCAACCCTTTTCATGGCCATTGCTTTTCACTTGGGCTCTAGAATGGTACGCAAAGCAAGGTTTATCCCAGAGATATTTAATGAGCATCTACTATGTGCCAAACTTGTTTAGGCATTGAAGAAGCTCAACAGGTTAGGCATAATCTCTCCCCTCATGGAACCTAAAATTTGTCCCTCATGTTATTTTCTTGTATATTTCTACTACAGATTTATCTGTTTGATAGTGCTTTTATTAAAGAGTTACTTTCTCTAAAATAAAATTTAAATATGTGAGTCTTCTTGGATAGAGATTATTTATTCCCTTTAATTGTATGCTATTCTTCCTTGACTGAGTAAAAGGACTTTGTGGTCACCATCAATCATTTATTAATGTATACTGTGTATCCACTGGATGAGTGATAACATTAAAGGTACTATACTTATAACTGTATCACTACCACCTTCCTTGTCATAATGTTCTGTTGCAGACAGAGGGGTTGATGTTATCCTGTATATGTAGCTGTTTGGTTACTTAGAGCTATTTGGACTACCACAAACTGCAAATGATTTTAATGCAGAAGGGTTTCTTGTTAAAGTCTCTACGTGCTATGAAGTTTGTGTATTAACAGACTGCTTTTCCTGTTGATTTGTAGCGGTGAAGTCCAAGCTAACTGTGACTGCCAGCATCCATGTGTACAGCATCCAGAAAGCCATGCTAAAGGACAGTGGGCCTCTGTTCAATACCGACTATGACATCCTTAAAAGCAACTTGCAGAACTGCAGCAAGTGAGCTCATTAAATGTTCCTTGTGGGCTTCTTTACTAATTGATTTTGTAAGATGTTTACACAGTGGCTGCCTCTTAAGAGTGAATGCCAAGTCTAGTAAAACCCCATTTATCTTACAGTTAGACACATGCCTGGCTTTATTAGTACATCATAAGGTGAAAAATAGCAGCCACAACCCACATTGAAAACCCCTGTGGACTCCTCATAAATTTATTTCTCATATTTTTATCCTGTCGCTGCCACCAGAAATGTTTGTTGTACCCCTCATTACTCTCTTTCCCATCTCAGCTGTCTGAATCCTGTCCATCCAACTATTCCTAATTTGATAACTCCCAGCTTTTCTGATAAAAAGTAGCTTTTTCTTGAACTTCTATATTAGATCATGTTCATCTTTGTGACCTTTATAGCACAAGTAGATACCAGATTATAATACACGTGGATTTTAGAATTACATGGTCACAGGCTTTAGTTGTGGCTTTTTTCTCAATAGTTTACTGACTTTCGACACATTTTTTACCCTTTATAAATTTCAGTTTCTTAATTTTAAATTGAATAATGCCGTGCCTATTTTGTGGGATTCTATTGAGAGATTAGACGAATTCTTCAAAGTGTATTGAACACTGACTACTGGATAGGTACTAAGAAGAGGACTTCAATTCATTGAACAAATACCTGATAAGAGCCTATGACATACCTCCACTGTAGTGAGATTACGGCATAATAGGTGTTCATAGAGCTTGCGGTCTTGTAGGAGGCAGGCAGTTACAAAACGTGTGACAGTGATGTAATTAGGAGAACAATAATAGGAGTGAGCTCTGGTGGCTTAGTGGTAAGGAAATGGCACCGCCAACCTGAAGGTATACAATTTGAATCTGCCAGCTGCTTCATGGGAGAAAGATGGTCAGTCTCCTCCCATGTGATTTACTGCCTCTGAAAATTCACTGGAGGATCAGCTATGAGTCCTGACTCCACAGTACACAACAACAACAAGAGGAATAATAGTATGGGAAGATGTTGCCAGGCCATTTACTCTCCCACTTTTGGATAAATGTGAAAAGGTAAAACAGAGCAGGCTTCTTCAAGGATGTGAAATCCAGGTGGAAACTTACCTAGAAATAACTGGACAAAGGAGAAATGAGAGGGTTAAAGATAGAGTTGAGAGAGAAAATAGAGTGCTTATGAAGAATAACAATAGTTTCTTATGGTTTAACTTAGAGTAAGGTAGGAAATAATTAGAAATAACACCGAAAAAGTAAGCAAGAGTCAAATATTTCTGTGTTTTGATTGCTAGGATAAAGAGTTTAGACTTCCATTCAAGATTTTTAAGGCAATGGAGTAAAGTAATCAGAATTGCATTTTAGAAATATTACTTGTTTAGTATTGGACAGGAATAATCTGGAATCAGGGAAATGTGTCAGTGACCCAAGGTGGGAAATAGGCTTACCCAAAGTAATGTTGTACTGAAGATAGAGAGGCATAGGGAACTAAAGAGTCAGAAACATCAACACCTGGATATTGTAATAGTGGTTGGGGATGTGTATGGTAGGGGGAGGGATTTGTTCATGTAGTTAAAGAAGAAAGATGCCCATGTAGCTGACTTGGGCAACTTGATGGATTATAAGAGAATGAGTAAGCTTCAAAAGAGAAGGAAATTGAGAAATTGGATTTTGCACATGTTGAATTTGGGAAATCCATTGAGTTACACCTAAGATTAAGTCTAGAGCTGACCAATACTGGGTGAAGAGAAGTAAATTTTTTTTTTTAATATTTTATTATTTTTGTGTGAGTGTACCGTCAAATCAGATCTGACTGGTACAGGAGGAGATTGTCTCTCCTTCCCCGGCAGAGCATCTGGTGGATTCGAACCGTGCACCTCTGGGATTGTAGTTGCAGCTCCTTACCACTAGGCCACCAGAGCGCCCCTGAGAAGTAATTTTGAAATCATAGCAAATAGGTAAATTGGCTACATCAGTAAGTATAGTCATGTAGGGAGAATGTATAGAGACAAAGGTCAGAAAGTATAACTCCAGGCTACAAATACTAGCTGTTGTGCCCTTGAGTAAACTATTTAACCTCTTGGTTTCCTTATCAGTAAAATGGGGCTAACAGTTCTATCAACCTTATAGTAATAAAGAGAATTGGATGAATTAATACATATAAAATGTTAGAACAGTGTTTGGTGTATAGTGAGCACAGTTTAGATGTTAGCCACTTTTTTCAGATATCCTGAAAAAGTGGGGGTAATAGTGAGCAGTTTGAGGTAAGAGTAAAGAGAGTTCATGTTTCTATAGCTAAGTGGAGTTTTGAGAAGGTGGGCCTGGCCAATAATGTCAGATAATGCTGAGAAACCAAGTCAGATAGGAACTGAGAAATGTCCCTTGGTTTTACTGGTGGCCTTGGGTATATCCCTGGTAAGAGCATTTTCATCTGAGTTTATTACTGGCTTTGTGCTTACTGAGTAAATGGAATGAGAGGAAGAGATACAATCGGTGTAGAAACTCTTCACAGAAGATTTGACTGTAAAATTAGAAACAGAAGGTACGTGGCCTAGTGGCAAGAAGCTGCAACTACAATCCCAGAGGCGCACGGTTCGAATCCACCAGATGCTCTGCCGGGGAAGGAGGGGCAATCTCCTGTACCAGTCAGATCTGATTTGATGGTACACGCACACAAAAATAAAAATTAAAAAAAAAAAAAAAGAAACAGAAGGTACTAAAGAGTTACTTGGGTTTGAAGAAGCATATATACATTTTTAAAGTTGAGAATGACTTGTATTGTTAGGAAAAAGCCACAAGATAGAAAAAGATTGAATATATGGGGAAAGATAGGATCACAGATAGGTGATCACAGGTCCTTTAGGAGAAACAGATACATAATTTGAGTTTCTGTAAATTCCATTAGTTTCTGTTAATTCTCTTTTTACTACCACTGTATTGTCAAAAAGGAGCTCTGATGGCTGCTGAGTGCTAAGGAATTTCATTGCCAACCAACACAAAGGCACGTGGTTCAAATCCACCAGCTGCTATGCTGAAGAAGAATGGGCATCTTTCCCCGTGTGATTTGCTACCTCTGAAAACATGCTGGAGAGTTAGCTATAAGTTGTTTCCAACTTAGCAATTCAAAACAACAAGACACTTATTTTCAAAATGTTGCTCATTTAATAAGTAATAGTTGATTAAGCTAATGATGTTGATCTTCACTCTCTTGTCCAAATCCTATTGTTGTTGTTATGTGCCATCGAGTCGCTGGCGACTCATAACTACCCTATGTACAATAGCCCTAAACTCTGCTCTGTCCTGTGCCAATCACACTGTCTCCGATACTCCCATCCTGATTATCCTAGTCACTGAATCAGTCCACCTCATAGAGGGCCTTCCCCTCCTGCGCCGTCCCTCCACCCTCCCAAGCATGATGTCCCTCTCCAAGGACCGGTCTCTCCTCACAACATGTCCAAAGTATGTTAGACAGAGCCTCAGAATCCTTGCCTCCAAGGAGCCACCCGGTTTAACCCTTTCCAGGACAAATCTGTTTGTTTTCCTAGCAGTCCATGGTATTCTCAATACTCTTCTCAAAGGCATCAATTCTCCTTCTATCCTCCTTGGTCATTGTCCAACTCTCTGATGCATAACAAGTGATTGCGAAGACCATGGCCTGTATCAGACGCACCTTAGTCTCCAGAGAGACACCATTGCTCTTCAGTACTTTGGAGAGGTCCCAAACAGCAGACTTTCCCATGGCAATGCGCCTTTTATTTTCCTGGCTGCTGGTGCCAAGACTGTTGACTGTGGAGCCAAGCAAACTAAAGCTGTGTACAATCTCAATCTCTTCACCATCCATCCTAATGCTGCCAATTGGTCCAGTGGTGAGAATCTCTGTCTTCTTGACATTGAGCCTCAAGCCATATTGGAGGCTGCAGTCCTTGACCCTCTGCAGCAAGTGCTTCAGGTCCTCTTCAGTTTCAGCAAGCAGGGTTGCGTCATCTGCATAACGCAGATTGTTGATAAATCGTCCCCCAATCTTGACCCCACATTTCTCCTCATAGAGCCCAGCCTCCCGGATAATCTGTTCTGCATATAGGTTGTAAGGGTATGGAGATAGGATGTATCCCTGGGGTATGCCCTTCCCAATTTTGAACCATGCAGTGTTCCCTTGCTCTGTTCTGACGACTGCCTCCTGGTCCAAGTATAGGTTTCGCATTAGAACGATCAAGTGTTCTGGGATTCCCATTCTTCTCAGAGTCAGCCACAGTTTGTTATGATCCATACAGTCAAATGCCTTTGCATAGTCAATGAAACACAGATAGGCATTCCTCTGGTATTCCCTGCTTTCAGCTAAGATCCATCTAACATCAGGTACAATGTCCCTAGTACCACGAACCCTTCTAAACCCAGCCTGGACTTCTGGTAGTTCTCTGCTGATGTGCTGTTCCAGTCGTTTTTGTATAATCTTCAGTAAAATCTTGCTTGCATGTGAAATCAGTGAGATTGTTCTATAGTTTCCATACTCTGTTAGGTCACCTTTCTTTGGAATAGGAACAAATATAGATCTCTTCCAGTCAGTTGGCCAAGTGGTCGTTCTCCAGATTTCTTGGCACAACTTGGTGAGCATGTCCAGGGCAGCATCTGTTAACTGAAATATGTCAATTGGTATACCATCTATTCCTGGAGCCTTATTTTTTGCCATTTCCTTCAAAGCAGCCTCAACTTCTTTCATCACCGTAGGCTCTTGCTCATATGTTGTTTCATGAAATTCTTCTGTGTCTGCCAATTCCTTTCGATATTTATTAAATTTAAGTAATGTAGCTGAACACCATAAAAATGATGATCTTTAAAAAAAGAATATCTTGATACATTTATGTAAAATATACTGTTAGCGTTCAAATGTAATGTCTATTAAAATTTAGTTGTAGCATGTCAAACTCTCAAATCTTTTCCTCTAGCAAGTGAACAGGTAAGAAATTGACTCATGTTCAAAATGAAATTTGCACAGAAACCACTAATACGCACAGCAAGTAGAAATATATTAATAGAAAGCCCTTTAAAGGAACTTTACTTAAGTACCTGGAGTATTCCAGTAGAAATGTGAAGAATTTATCTCCAAAAAGTTTGTGTTTGCTTCTGAAAATTATGGAGCAGCTGAGATCTGACTCATTGTTTTGTGAGCTAAGAAGTGCTGTGACCAGGAGAAATAAAAAATTTAGTGCTGAGCAAAGATGCTTTGCTTTCCGGACATGTTCCCAAGCCTAACCTTGTCTGTTACTCTTTGCCAGTTTCTGATTCTGACCTTATGGTGTGGAATGCTGACCAAATGGAGAAAGCATTTTCTCGGAGCCAACCTTAGATGTTGACAATGAAAGAAAATATTGCTATTTTCCTTGCACAGAGAAAAACCATGAGATCAGAAAGGAAAAGCAGTAGGTGAAAGTAAATTACTTCCATCTGTACTTGATGCTGATACACAAACTGTTTGTGTTAACATGAGTGGGCAGTGATAAATCAGTGGAAAAATTTTAGAGCTGTAGACCCTAACTTTATCTGAAGTTACTTATGATACTAAATTATTTAGCTGGGATTTATTTTCCCCCTTACCTATTATTATATTATTATTATTACCCCCCCTTAGACTATTCTAGCTGTTAATCTTGAAGTTGTCCAGGTTGATCTGTAAGATAATTACTATTACCATATAGTTTCTTGACTTCTATGTTCTCTCCTGCTTTGAGATGATGTAGAAAGAGTAGTCTCACTTTCAGTGACTTAAATAGTCAGTTTTTCAACATACATTTCCTGTGTGCCAGGTCTTACACTGACTGCCTGATATAAAAAAAAGATAAATAAGACATTCTCTTTTGTTTTAAATTGCATTCTTCAGAGAAGCAAAACCAATGATGTAGATAGACATGCACAGAGAGTTTTATTTCAAGGAGATGACTTGTGTACATTTAGAGGCTGGAAAGTCTCAGGTCTATAGATCAGACCTCAAAAGAGGCATCAGAGGTTAGTGAGGCCAAGTTGCCAGCAAGAGGGCTTCAGAGTCTACTAGCTTCAGAGACATGAATCCAAAGTTGCAGGGGAACTGTGTTGCAGACGGCTGGCTTTGGAGACTGAAGTCAAACCCTGGAGTCCAAAGTTGGCATTAGAGCAGGCCAGTGGTTCAAGGCTGGAGCCCACAAGCCAGTTGGCCAGAAATGAGCTTGGACTAAAAGCTCCTTAGCTCTGCCAGAGGTCCAAAAATATATATATGGAACTTACTCCATTCAGGCCAAACTCCTGAGGAGACTTTCCCTTCATAAGACAAGGCCGATCATATATTTACAGAATAACATCTAATCTTGCCTCATTAACATCATAAAGATACACCATACAACACAAAAAATGGTTACATTATACTAAGGATTATGACTACATTGACCTACAATATTAACCTAAAACTATCAGTTTTTCCCAATGAATAAAAACAGGATAAAAGAAAATGTTCTTATTTATTAGAAAATTTGGGGAATTGTGTTTTAAGTATAACTCTTTGAAAATGCCAAGTTGGTTTCCCATATGTGATGTTACGTGGTACAGTTTTATGAAGGAGAGACATCTGCAGTGGTTAAGGAAGAAGAGATCAGTATTTCTTTTAATAAGTTATATATACATACATAACAAACTGTAGCTAACATTGAGAAGAATGGGAATTCCTGAACACTTAATTAATCATATACAAAATCTGTATCTAGATCAACAAGCTTTGTCAGAACAGAGCAAGGGAACACTGCATGGTATAAAAAGAAAAGTGTATCAGGGCTATATCCTTTAATCTGTATGCTGAGCAGATCATTTGCAAAACTGGACTTTATGAAGAGTAATGTGGCAGCAAGATTGAAAGAAGATCCATCAACAGCCTGTGTAATGCAGATGCCAAAAGCTTAGTTGCTGAAAGCAAGGAATACGAGGCACTTGCTTCAAAAGATCAGGGACTATAGCCTTCATTGTGGATTATATCTCAACATGAAGAAAACAAAAATCTTCTCCACTGGTCCAATAGGTAGCATATTGATAGATAAAAGATTGAAATTGTCAACAACTTCATCTTGCTTAGATCTACAGTCAGCGTCCTTAGTACTAGGAGTCAAGATCTGAAAAGATATATTGCACTGGGAAAATCTGCTGTCAGGGATCTTTCTTTAGAAAGATCTTTGAAGAGCCTAGTGTCTAAGCTGTGCCTGATTTAAGTGATGGTATTTCCAGTTAACTGCCATGCATCTGAGTGCTGGACAATAAACAAGGATGACAGAAGAATCAATGCATTTGAGTTGTGGTGTTGGAGAAAAGTACAGAATATTTAAAAATCCCAAACATATGTGTTGGAGAATGTGCAGCGAGAATGCTCTTTGGAGGAAAGGATGACAAAATTTTGTGTTACATATTTCAGGCATGTGAGGAAAGGCTGTTCTTGGAAAGGGACATCAAGCTTGGAAATGTACAGCAAAAGAGAGGGAGGTCTTCAGAGAGTGACTACAGCTGTGTGTTCAAGTGTTAGGGATAATAACGACGGTGGAGGATAGGACAGGATTCAAATCTGTTCATGGGGTCTCTGAGTTATATATGACTCGATACTTAACAGCAACTTACATCATGCTTTTTTACTGGCCTTGGACCAACTTCTTGTCTGGTGCTGGTATTACAACCTCTCTCCATGTTTTAAAGTAGAATTCTGATCAGGAAGAACCCCACTGTCATCATTTCTTGCATCTAAGTGAAAGTTTTTAAACAAAATTTCTAAAATCCATTCTGACACTAAAATTTTCTAATTTTATAGTATTCTCCTTGCTGTTGGAAGCAGGAGCGGCATCCACTTCCGAAATGGCTTGCTTCCGAAAACTCTTATGTACGAACAGTGCTCAGGCTGTTCGTTCATAGGGTCGTTGTGAGTCGTCTATGACTCGATGACATCAAACAACAACAAAAACATTGCTGTTGAGTCAAAAATAACTCACAATTACTCCTCTAGTGGGTTTCTGGGAGACTGTAAATGAGTGATGCAAGAGGAGATTGCCAACCTTTGTCCTTCTGAGTAGCTGGTGGATTCAGGAAGGGCTGCCTTTGGGATAACAGTACAACTTTCTATGGACTGCATCACCAGAGCTCCCTTTGATAGTGTTGTTGAGTCAGAACCAACTCTTACCTGACTCTGTAGTGGGTTTTCAGAGGCAGCAAATTACATCAGAGATTGTTCATCTTCTTCCTGAAGAGCAGCTGGTAGAATTGAACTTTGTGCCTTTGGGTTGGTAGCGCAACTTATTACCACTCTACTACCAGCTTCCTTTTGTATTAGTATGCTTGGTACATATTTTGGAAAAGAATTAAAATTTGAAACGAAGGTATTCAAGACTGCCATTCATTAAATGTTAACATTTCTCTCACTAGGTTTAGTGCCATACAGTGTGCAGCTGCAGTCCTTAGAGCTCCTACTGAGGTCTCATCTTCTGAAAAAGTTGAGCAGTCAGATCTTCATGTATCAAGTGAGACACAAACCAATAGTAAGTTGACCAGCAATGGTCATGGCCCACCTGCCTCCAAAGTGGTCTCCCAGCAGCCCAAAGGAATTATGGAATTGTTGGCCGCCAAAGCTGCTTCTAAAAGTCAAGACACTAACAAGGACAGCAAACCAGAGGCTAAAGAGGTAACAGATAAGTTTTTGGTTAGCATAACCCTACTGACTGCCACCAATGCTTCTTTTTAGAAATAGATGCCTTTCTAGTTCACAGTTATCTGTGAAAGCATTCATATTGCCAGAGGTTATAGGTTCTGCTTTTCTGATTTTTCTATATTAGTTGAATCTTTTTGATATTTGTTATTCTCATCTAAAATAGTTTGTTTTTTCTTTTCATAATTTTTCTCACTGAGTCTACCATCATAAAATTGTTATGAGAACTAGTTGATATAATAATGTGAGAACACCTTAAAAAATATAAAGTACAAAGAATTGTATATTGACATTATATCACTTTGAGAACATCTTGTATACTTTGCCATTTTTGCCAGGCTTCTAATAGACCTAATATTCCTTCTCTATTTTATGCCTTTTTCTAGATTTTTTTCCTTTCTCTTTTTGTTTAGTCATCTGAGTTAAGTGCATTGGCTTAAGACAAGCAACACACAGATAACTATTTAAAACAACCCTGTAAAGTATAATTATTGCTATTCTATTATTACCATCATTGTCATTTCCAAGCTTCTACTATGGGAAAGGAGAAGAAAGATGCAGAGGTATTGAACTTTTACTGTGTTCTGGTAGTTTGATCCTTGTTTTTTACTTGATTCTGTGGAGGAAATATTGCTATCCCTATTATATGTAGTGAAACTGTTATCTCAGCTTACCTGCACTTGGATCAAGAAGCAGTCCTCAGAACAGAGCAAGGGAGTGTGTTAGGGATGCATCCTGTCACCATACAGAACAGAGCATTCGGAAAGCAGGGCTTTATGAGGGGGAGTGTGGCATCAGGATTGGAAGAAGACTCATTAACAACCTACAGTATGCAGATGATACAACCTTGCTTACCAAATCTGAAGAGGACCTGAAGTGCTTGCTGCAAAAGGTCAAGGACTATAGTCTTCAATATGGATTGAAGCTCAACATCAAGAAGACAAAGAGATTCTCACCACTGGGCCAGTTGGCAACATCATGATCGGTGGAGAAGAGATTGACGTTAGCAATTACAGCTTGCTCAGATCCACAGTCATCACTCTTTACACCAGCAATCAGGAAATCAAAAGATTAATTACACTGGGAAAATCTGGTGTCATAGACTTCTCCAGAGTGCTGAAAAGCATCAGTGTCAGTCTAGAGACAAAGATTCACCTAATCCAGGTCATGATCTTCTCAGTCAGTGACTTGTTATGCTTCAGAGAGCTGGACAGTGACTAAGAATGTCAGAAGAAGAATAGATACCTTCAAGTTGTGATGGTGGAGAAGAGTCTTGAACATAACAAAGACTGCCAAGAAAAAAAATTGGTCTGTCTTGGAGAGGGTGAAACCATGTCTCTCCTTGGAGGTTAGGATTCTGAAGCTCTGCCTCACTTACTTAGGGCATGTGGCCAGAAGAGAACAGTCATTGAAGAAGGACATCATACTTGGAAGGGTGGATGGACTGTGTAGGAGAGGGAGACCCTGGATGAGTTGGATTGATAACAGTATCTGGGGCTATGGGGGTTGGTATGTCGAAATTAGTGAGACTGGCTCAGGGCAGGGAAGGGTTCAGAGCTCAGGGCAGGGAAGGGTTCAGAGCTGCTGTACATAGGGTCACTATAAATCGCAGGTGAATCAATGGCACATAACAACAATACCATTATGACAGGTTTGGAAGCAGGAGTGCATCCATTTCCTAAACAACGTGCCTCCAGAAACTCTATGAACTTTGATAAGTGTCGATGGTTGTAGGGGAGCTTTAGGCCTTTTGTTCACAGAGTCACTATGAGTTGTGCTTGACTCTAAGGCAATCAACAACAACAGAGGTCATATTGCTATTAAGTGTCAAACCAGGATTCAGACCTACTTTTGATAATTATAAGTGAAATGTTTTGGGATTCGCCCACCTGTTACCCCGTTGTGTACCATACTTCTTCAAACAAAATTGTTTTGAAATATGCTTATGCAAGGTTTGAAAGCCTGGCTGTCACTATTGACCACTACAAGGGATAGTAGAAGATCCTGGATAGAAGAAGGAAAAAGTGGAGCAGAACTTAAAAAAGGCCAGTCTTATTGATCCATGTAGACTGGTGGAACTCCTAAGACTATAACCCTTAGCCACTCTTCAATCCTGGATGAAATAAAACTCACACCCCTGGCTCAAACAGTAACCAAGGCTAAGGGGAATAGAGTGGTAACACCAGGGAGGAACCCACACTTCTAATAAGATTTAAAAAGTGGCATTTTCAGAAAGATAATGCCCAGAAGGCAGAAAGATTAATGGAAATGAGAATTTCAGGAGGAAAGTGCATTGTAAGTATTATAATTAATGCTGTAAAACAAAATGTGTACTAAGAATTGGATGGAAAACCAACCTGCTTTGTGAACTTACACTCAAACTTTAAAAAAGAAAACTTTTGAAACATTCATAGATTTGAATCTTATGCAAATTCTGAAAAAAATACGTTTTGGAGGTTAATACCAGATACTGTCTAGTCTGGGTTATTGATCAAAATTTGTTCTTATACACATGTGTGTTCTACACATTTTGGTGTGATTATAATAGAAACTGTGCCGTCACAATTATGTCCTAACATTGAAGATTGTTGATAGCCTAAACACTGGAAACAAATCATCTGTGTTTTCTATTCTTACAGACAGCAGCAGGCAGCAAGGCACTAGGGAAAGCAAATGTGATGAGCAATTTTTTTGGAAAAGCTGCGATGAGTAAGTATGGTCCAATAATACCCTGGATGGCTGCTCTCAAGTTTTGTTGTTGTTTTCTTAAAATTATTTTTAATTCAGTATGGATTGAAGCTCAATATTAAGAAAACAAAGATTCTCACCACTGGGCCAATTGGCAGCATCAGTATGGATGGTGAAAAGATTGAAATAGTTAACAGTTTTAGTTTGCTTGGTTCCACAGTCAACACTCTTGGTACCAGCAGCCAGGAAATCAAGAGACGAATTGCACTGGGAAAGTCAGCTGTGAGGGACCTCTCAAGAGTACTGAAGAGCAACGACATCAGTCTGGAGACTAAGGTGCACCTGATCCAGGCTATAGTCTTTGCAGTTGTGTGCTAGGCATCACAGAACTGGACAGTGACTAGGGATGATAGAGAATTGATGCCTTTGAGCTGTGGTGCTGGACAAGAGTGTTGAATATACCACGGAACAAACAGATTTGTCCTGGAGAGGGTGAAGCCGGGCTGCTCCTTGGAGGCAAGGATTCTGGAGCTTCATCTGACATACTTTGGGCATGTTGCAAGGAGGGACCAGTCCTTGAAGAGGGACATCATGTTTGTGAGAATGGAGGGACAGCGCAGAGAGGAAGACCCTCAATGAGATGGATCTTTTCAGTGATTGGGGTGGTGGGAGTAGGTGTGTCGAAGATAGTGAGACAGGATAGAGCAGTATTTAGGGCTCTTGTACATGGGGTCACAATGAGTTGCAAGCGACTCGATGGCACATAACAACAAATTATTTGTATTTATTTCTTTATTTTACTATTTGTGTGTGTGTACCATAGAATCATACCTGACTGGTATAGGAGTAGATTGCCCCTCCTTCTCCAAGGAAGCATCTGGTGGATGCTTCTGTGCCTTCTGGGTTGCAGCGCAGATGCTTCATGCCTTCTGGATTGCAGCGCAGCTTCTTGCCACTAGGGCAACAGAGCTCCCTGCTCTCAAGCTTTTAAGAGCCCAATCACTTCTCACTAATGTAGGATGTAGAAAATTATCTTTGTGGACTGTGTTATGCCAGTTGACCTTAGTATCTGCCAAGACTATGAACCTGAGCCCACAGATATACTATCACATTCCTTCATGGTTTTTGTTTATAGCTAAGAAGTTTTCCTAATTATCCCCTGTGTGCTCTACTATGAATATGTTTGTTGAACATGTAGATCCATGTTGTTAACCAGACACAGAATGAAAACGGGGACATGAGGAAATGAATTCTGAAAGAGGAATGCCAGGCAGAGGTCCTCCACAGCTTAGCACTGTGAAAGGTGACTTCGTTAGCTTTTCTATGGTTTTTATTTAGTTTAAACTAACATAAAAAAATTCCTATTTTGTGAGGCTATATTTTTGTTATACGTGAGTGTTGCCAACATAACAACAGCTAAGCTTAATTCTTAAAACAAGAGGAAGATAATTCCAAAGTTCAGGAATGGTGTCCCCTTCAGTGGGAGGCTGGGCGGAATCTTCTGTTTGTAGAGGGCATCCAAATCTCCTCTGGAGAGTTGGACCAAATTCTCTGTTTGTAGAGGCTCCCTAACCAGCCTGGACTCTGATTTCAGATGTGACCCAGCTATTACTATGCTTACCTATTCACAGATTCATATGTAGAAACATCAGAAGTTGTACTACCAATCCAAAGGCAGGCAGGTGGTATAAATCCACCGGCTCTTTGACTGAAGAAAAATCTCCTGTGTAGTTTTACTGCCTCTCAAAATCTTCTGGAGGATCAGCTAAGAGTCAGTGAATTTCAACTCAAAAGCAGTAAGTGGACTTGAGTTGATGTATTTGTGAGTGACAGGAAAAGTCTCCATCAAACCTGTGTATAACTTGTAGATGTTATCCCATTTAAGACATAAACACTAGAAGTAGCATAAGAGTTAAACAAGTAATTTTTTTCTCTCAAAAGTACTTAAGATGTAAATATCTATTCCTTATAAATGGAGAAAGTCATACTGTATAGAAATTTATATTCATTCAACAAATAACGTTTTGAGCCCCAGCTGTGTGCTTCTTGTTGATATGTACTCTTGCATGGGAACCAACCCTTAGCTGACTCTCCAGCAGGTTTTCAGAGGCTGTAAATTGGATAGGAAGATATTGTCTATCTTTCTTCCACAGAGTAGCTGATGGATTTGAACCACATGCTTTTTGGTTGGCAGTGCAATTCCTTACCACTAAGCCACCAGGGTTCCCTCCTCTGTACTTTGTACAGGTGATAAAATAACCTTTATAGTGTTCTGAGAGAGAAAGCAAACAAACACAGTGGGGAGGGGGGAAGTTAATGATTGTAACTGCAAGGCAGAAAGTAAGAGATGTTGGGATAGAATATAATTGGGGGGCAGATCTTAATAATATAACGAATTGTTTACTTCCTAAAAGAATGTGGTGGTGAGTTGTCGAATCTGAACTGACTCAGCTCCAAGTTTTCAGAGGCAGTATATCACACAGGAGGAGATTGCTCATCTTTCTCCCACAGAGCAGCTGTGAATGAGTGACTTTGGGTTGGCAGTGCAATCCTTACTACTAAGCCAACAGAGTACCCTTTAGGGCTCCAATAGAGAAGCTGGACTTTATGAAGAAGAATGTGTCATCAAGATTGGAAGAAGACTCATCACTAAACTGTATTGTGCAGATGAAACAGCTTTGCTTGCTGAAAACGAGAAGGACTTGAGGCAAAAGATCAAGGACTGCAGTCTTTAATATGGATTACATCACCAAATTATGAAAACAAAAATCCGCCCCCTGCCCCCGGCCAATAGGCAACATCATAATAGGAAAGATTGAAATTGTCAATAATTTCATCTTACTTGAGTCCATAATCAAAACCCTTGGTACCAACAATCGAGAGATAATGCTGTCTAAAGACCTTTCCAAAGTCCTGAAGAGCAGTGATGTCAGTTTAAAGAGTAAGGTGTACCTGATTCAAGCCATGGTTTTTTTCCAGTCACCTGCTATGCATCTAACAAGAGCTGGGCAGAATAAGGATGACAGAAGAAAACTTGATGCCTGGAGTTACGATGTTAGAGAAGAGTCCATTCTATGTACTGCCAAGAGAACAAACAAATGTCTTAGAGAAAGGGAAACCGAATGCTCCTTGGAGGCAAGAATGACAAAGCTTTGTCTTACATACTTTGTTAGGAGAGGCTCTTCCTTGGAGAGAGACCTCATGAAGATCCTTAGCAAGATGAATTGATAAACTGTGTATGGCATTGGGTTCAAGCGTGTTGGGGATGATAAGGATGATGCGGGTGGGGGGGCGACGACAAAGTTTAGATCTGTTTTTCTTAGGGTCACTGTGAGTCATATGTAACTTGGTGGCATCTAGCAACAACAACAAAAAGAATAGTTCTGATGGCCTATGGATAGGGAATTGAGTTGTGCTGCCAACTCAAGGTGGATAGTGTGGTCCACCAACTGCTCCAATGGAGAAAGATTGGCAGTGTCCTCCTGTGCTATTTATAGCCTCTTGAAAGCCCTTTGGAAGGAGTCAATTCTGACTTGACAGCAATGAATGAAAAGGAATGGAAACAAAGTTGATTTAATAATTTTTTTTTCAAGATTAAATGTTTAGAGCAAAATTGTGAATGTTCTTGATCATATATTATTACAGTGAAATTGAAGCATAAGAATTGAATAAGTTTGATTTGGGGGCTTTAACCTTATAAGCTTAATGCTGGCAAAATAAAATTTAATGCTGGACAATAACAAGTGTTAACACAGATGTAGAGAAGTTGGAACCTTTACACATTGCTGATGGGAATGTAAAATGGTTATATATAGCCTTTTGGAAAAAATATGTGGCGTTACTCAAAGGGTTAAGTGAGGTGTTACCATATAACTCAGCAGTTCTACTCTTTGGTTTATACTCCACAAAGAAGTGAAAACATACATCCACACAAAAATTGTACACTGAGTTTGTAACAACATTATTCATAGTAGTCAAAATATAGAAATAACCCTAACATATATCACTGAATTAATAACTAAACAAAATACAGTATGTCCATGCAGTGGAATATTTATTATTGACTTATTGATAAAATTGGAAGCAGGAGTGGCATCCACTTCCTAAACAACATGCCTCGGAAAACTATGAACTTTGATAAATGTAGATAGATGTAGAGGGGCTTGGGGCCTTTTGTTCATAAGTACAGGCATGTGCTACATGATTGAACTGTGCAAACAATTGTACTTAGTGAAAGATGCCAGGCACAAAAGACTGAATATTGTATGATTGCTCTTTCCCCCCACCCCTCCAGAAGGTTCAGAATAGGCATATCTATAAAGACAGAATAATGGGAATAATGGTTGCCTGGGGTGGAGGTGGGCTGAGTTAAAAATGACTGCTGATGGGTACAGTTTATTTTTTGGAGTGATAAAAATGTTTTAAAATTAGATAGTGGTGATGGTTGCACAACTTTATAAATATCCTGAAAAACCACTTTAAAAGGGTAAATTTTATGGTCTGTGAATTATAGCTCTATGAAAATAACTTAGTGCTTTATTTGTAATAAAATTTGCAGCATCAGTAACAAAATTTTAAAAAGTCATCATCAGCTTTTTTTGTACTTGAGAAAGATTTCATATTTTTCTTGAGTAACGAAAGGAGATACTTTTAATGAGTCAGATGATTGAAATGACTTGATCTCCCTGGTAACAAGAAAATATGACTAAATTTTCCATAACAGATTCCTGAAAATGTTTCATAGAACTACTGTAGTTCAAATAATGCTCCCACATAAATAATGCAAATAGTGTATACAACCAGTGCATGAAGGGGTTTTGTGGTTTTTAGGAAGAAACATAACACATACCCAGCTTGCATGAAAAGACAGTACCTCTTTGTAAGCACTGCTGTCTAATTGGTTCCAATTCATAATAACCCTCCTTGGGTTTCCGAAGCTATAAGTCTTTGTGGGAAGACACTGCTTATCTTTTTCTGTAGAGTGGCTGATGAATTTGGATGCAAACATTTTGGTTAGCAATCTAACATGTTATACACTAAGTCACCAGGTCTCTTTAGCTGATTATAGCCAGTATATATAGATCGTTCGTACCATCAGGTGGATTTTGACATGTAGCAACCTCATTTGACAGAGTAGAACTGCCTCATAGGATTTTTGACTGTAATCTTTGTGGAAGCAGACGGCCAGGTCTTTGTCCAAAGAGTGAGTTCAAGCCATATTTCTTTTGGTTAGTAACTGAGTGCTTCGCCTTTGCTCCCAGGGCTGCTTACTAAAACTACCCTTTGCCACTGAATGAATTCCAATTCATTCAGAAATCCTATAGGACAAATAGAGTTACCTCATTGGGTTTCCTGAAGGGAGCTCTGGTGGTCTAATGTTAAGAAGTTGTGCTTTGATCCCAAAGGCACAAAGTTTGAAACCATCAGCTGCTCTACTCCATGGGAGAAGGGAGAGAACCTCCTCCCTTGCAGTTTACTGGCTCTGAAAACCTGCTGGAGTGTCAAGTATAGGTTGGTTTCAACTTGACAGTACAACAACATGGGTTCCTTAAACTGTAAGCAGACTGCCACATCTGTGTCCTGGAGGAGCTGGTGGGTTTAAACCACTGACCTGTTAGTTAGCCAAGTGTTTTATCACTGGACTATCAGGACATGATAGAATTTCCAAAATACTGTGAAACCAAAATAGAGCATAGAAACTCTGGGTGCTGAACTAATGTTTTATAATTGATGTTTTAACACAGATCAGTTTTGTGAAATAGGTGGACTCAGTACATTAGCGTGTTTCTTGAACCATGAGGTAAGTAGGAATATTTGGAATTTTTTTTTCTCCCCTCATGGAGCTCTGGTGGCCTACTGGGTATAGAATTTTTTTGCGCTGCCAACCAAAAGACAAGTGGTTCAAATTTACCAGCTGCTCTGTGAAAGAAAGATAGTCCCCTCCCATGTAATAGCCTCTAAAATTCTGCTGGAAGGTCAGCTATTAGTCAGTTCTAACTTGATGGCAATAAACAGCAATAATAACCACTGAAACTATATAAATTATACAATAAAATGTGAAATTTACTTAAATTTTGAAGATAGAATTTCATAGGACTGGTTGATTCTTTCATTCAAATTATCTACTCAAAGTCTTAATAAAATGACATATAAGCAGGTTGCTTAACACTTTTGTTCACTGTTTACTCTTTTAAATTTTTATAATTATTAAGCACTGTGTATCAACCAAGAAAAAGGTATCAGTAAACTGTTTTACAACTATAGCCAAAACTGCCAAAAATTTAAGCTGAATTTAGAAGAGACCACAGAATAAGGGATAGATCATTGCTGATATCAGATAGATCTTGATTGAAAGCAGAAAACAAAAGAAATGTGTCTTCTCATATTTGACTGATTGTAAAGACGTTCAACTATGTGTTATCTTAAGAAATTATTGTACACTGTAGTCCCAGAGGCACGTGGTTTGAATCCACCAGATTCTCAGCTGGAGAAGGAAGGACAAACTCCTCCTGTACCAGTCAGATCTGATTTGACAGTACACACATAAGAAAAAAATTATTGATAACATTGACAAGAGTGGGAATTATAGAACACTTAATTGTGCTCATACTGTGTGTGAACCAAGAAGTAGTCATTCAGATAGAACATATGTCAGGATTGTGTTCTTTCATCATACCTGTTCAATTTGTATGCTGAACAAATAATCTGAGGAGCTGGATTATATGATGAAGAATGTGGCATCAAGATTGAGGAAGACTTATCAACAGCTTGCATTATGCATATGATACAGCCTTGCTTGTTGAAAGCAGAGAACTTAAATCACTTGCTGCAGAAGATCAAATACTATAGGCTTCAAAATAGATTTAATACATCTCAACAAGAAAACCAAAGTCCTCACCACTGGACCAATAGGCAATAACTTGATAGAAAAAAAGATTGAAATTGTCAAGGATTTCTTTAACTTGGATCCATGATCAGCCCTCACAGAAGCAATAGTCAAGAAATCAAAAGACTTTATTGATTGCATTGGGCAAATCTGCTGTCGTGGACCTCTTTAAAGTGCTAACGAGCAAGAATATTAGTGTAAAGACTATGCCTGACTCAAGCTCCCAAGCATATGTTCAATTTCATCTTATGTTTGTGAAAGTTGGACAGTCAATACAGAAGACCAAAGAAGCATTGATGCCTTTGAATTGTGATGTTGGGGAAAAGCAAATCTGTCTTGGAAGAAGTACAGCTATAGTGCTGATTTTCTTTAATAAGAAAAGCCAAAAGTTGTCTTTTTTTAATTCTATCATTAAGGTAGTAGTGAGATAAGAAGAATATCAAGCATTAATAAGTAGAATATAATACAGATTTCCAAGAGAACAAGTAGGCTTGTCCTGGAAAGGGTGAAATCAGTTTGCTTCTTGGAAGCAAGGATTTTGAAGCTCCATCTTACATACTTTGGGCATGTCCTTGAAGAAGGACATCGTACTTCAAAGGGTAGAGGGTCAGTGTAGAAGACGACCCTGGATGAGGTGGATGGACACAGTGGCAATGGGGTCAAGTATGTTAAGAGACACAAGTTGACTCAGGATATGGCAAAGTTCAGAGTCATTGTTCATAGGGTTGCTATGAGTTAGCACATAACTAACTATAACTAAGGCCTTGGTACAAATTCTGTTATCTTCGTTTTGTAAGTTATATATTCTTGGAAGAAGTTTTAGTGCTTGGGACCCTAAAATGTCTTATCGGGTAAATGAGAAAAGGACAGTTTATAAAGTAGTTGTATCCACTGTTTTCTGAGCCCTGTTTTACAATAATTTTCCAGTGATAGTGATATTATGAGGGATTAGTGGGTGGCAGAAATGAAAACAATTATAGCTAGAGTGGTACTTGGAAAGGAGAAATGTTTTCTGAATAGACTGAGCTGTAGTAGGACTGGAGTTGTTTTTAAACCTCTTTAGCTCCTAACATATTACCTGGCACATAGTAAACTGTCAAGAATGATGGCATAATATTACATGATGAGGTTATATAATGTCTACAATACTTTATTTGTAGATAAACTTAAAGTCAATTTGGATTCAGAACAAGCAGTGAAAGAAGAAAAAATAGTGGAGCAACCTCCAGTGTCTGTCACTGAACCAAAGTTGGCAGCTCCTACAGTCCTCAAGAAATCCAGCAAAAAAGCAGAGCCTGTTAAGATGCAACAGAAGGAAAAAAAAAGGTAGGAAAATTCTGTGGCTAGAGGGGGAAGAATGTCTCTGCTGAGAGTGAGAAGGTCTGTCTGGACTTATTGACAGCAGGCAGTTTTCAGTTTGAGTGCTAAATCCTACCTAATACCGTAGGGATACAACTTTATAACAAAGTGAAGGGAGAAGCTCCTTAACTGATCTTGTGAAGTAGGACTATGGAATCACTTTGGAACTGGAGGCCCAAACTCAGCTTTTTTTGGCCCTTCTGAGCGAAATTGATTGCCTTTTCTCCCTTAACTTCATTTTAGATTTGTGGTCATAGCATAAGTGTGTCTGATTGTGTGTATATGTCCGTTTCTCACTTTAGATTGCCAAATGAGAGGTTACTATTTCCAGTCAAATTTAAGAGAAAAAGTTCTTTGTTTTCTTTTTGTATCAATGAGTTTATTTTTTCAAGTGGTAAAATGTACTTAGAAAAGAAAATAAAAAATACACAAGCTGTTAAAAATGGATCCAGGAATTTGAGACACTACCTCATAGTTGGTAGGAATAAGTCTGCTGAAAGAAACTCGAAAGGACACTGTCAGCAGTGATAGGCCCAGTAAGACTTGACATTAGTGGCAAAGTTGGGGCTAATCTAGTAGAAAGCATCAGCTAAATGCTGAAGTTTCAGATTAGGGATTATCCAGTAGGCCTCATCTGGAAACCTGTGAGCTGGACAGATGAATACATTCCCAATCTTGGGTATATCAATCAGAAGAGGTTATTGCTGGCACTCCATTGTGTATTTCACTATTAACTATGATGTTAACTTTAGGTTTTTAGTGGATTAAGGATTTTTTTTCCCATTTCTAGTGTACTGAGAGTTTTTAACATAAACAGTTTTGACAAATTCTTAGTCTCTATCTGCTCAGGGGATCCCTGAGGTGTTTGTGTTTATGTGATGAATTCTATTGATTGCTAATGGTTCTCATTTATTAAACAGACCTTGCATTCTTGGGATAAAACCCACTTGGTCATGGTCTATCGCCTTTTTTATTTATTGGATTTGATTTATTAGTATTCTAGTAAGAATTTTTGTCTCTTTATGATGGCTATGGGTAATTTTCTAGTAGTGTTTTTGTTGTTGGATTTTTGCCTTTTACTGTGATTTGAAGAAAATTTTACAAAGTAAATTAATTTTCCATTCAACCACTCATACATTTTATTTTTTTTTTTTACTATTATTATTTGTGTGTGTACTGTCAGTTCAGATCTGACTGGTACAGGAGGAGAATGTCCCCCCTTCTCCAACAGAGCATCTGCTGGATTTGAACCGCAGCTTCATTCACAGCTTGGATTGCAGTGGAGCTTCTTGCCACTAGGTCATACATTTTATTTTATAACATTAATTATAGAACTCATATTATGATAGCACTTTTCCTGTTTTCTTTCTGTAATTCTCATTTCTATTAATCCTTCAGTCCTGTCTCTTTGTGCCTTCTCAGCTTTATCCTTAGACAGATGCTATTCTTCTGACCTTACATAGTTAATTATTCTAAGGAGTAAGTGCCTTCCTGATGTTGCTATGTATTATGAGTCTGTTTGTTTGGCTGAAAGTTGAGCCTTAATGGTGAATTTTGTTTCAGATTTGAAGAGTGACTAAGGGCATGTTGTTATTGTTGTGTTAGGGTTGTTGAGTCACTAAAGGCATAATCTAAGATGTTTCATCTGTCTCCATTGAAACAGTAAGCCTGGATTTTTTTATTTTTTTTTAGTTCCACATTTTCCCCACTTTATCCAGACACTTCTGCTATAAATCCTTGTAGAGTAGTCAACGGTGGTAACTGGGCACCATCTACTTAATCGGGTCTGAGGGTAATGGTTTTATTAGATTTTACTCTCAAGGTTTGTACTAACTTCATAAAACTAGTTAGGAAAAACCCCACCCTCTACTTTCTGATGGAATTTGTGTAAGATTTGTATAATTACTTCTTTAAATATCTGGTAACATTCACCAATTAATCAAGGCCTAGCGTTTTCTTTATTATTTTGTTGTTACAGCTTTGACCCATGGAGACACCATGTAAAAGAGAACAAAACCCTGTCCAATCTTGGACTGTTCTCAAAATGCTTTGCCAGTTGTTCATATCACTGTGTCAGGTCTTCTTAATGGTCAGCTTCTCTTTTGCTGACCCCTTACTTTTCCAAGCATGATGTCCTTTTCCAGGAACTGTCCATTCCTGAGAACATGTTCAAGATAAGATGAAGTCTCATCATCCTTGCTTCTAAGGAGCACCTGGCTTCACTTCTTCCAAGACAGTTTATCTGTTTTTTTGACATTACATAGTTCTTTGCCAACACTGCAGTGACTCCTCCTTTCTCAGTGTGGTTGTTGTCATGTGCTGTTGAGTCGCCTGCGACTCATAGTGACCCTATGTACAACAGCCCTAAACCCTGCTCTATCTTGTGCCAATCCTATTAACTCTGACACACCTATGCCTATTACCCCAGTCATTGAATCAATCCATCTCATCAAGGGTCTTCCTCTCCTGTGCTGTCCCTCCACTTTCCCAAGCATGACATCATTCTCCAGGGACTGGTCCCTCCTTGCAGCATGTCCAAAGTATGGCAGACGAAGCTTCAGAATCCTTGCCTCAAGGAGCAGACTGGCTTCCTTCACCCTCTCCAGGATGAACTTGTTTGTTCTCATTGCAGTCCATGGTATATTCAATACTCTTCTCCTCTCCAGCACCAAAGCTCAAAGGCATCAATTCTCCTATCATCCCTAGTCATTGTCCAACTCTCTGATACATACATAGCAAGTAATGGCAGGTGCACCTTAGTCTCCAGACTGACATCATTGCTCTTCATTACTTTGGAAAGGTCCCTGACAGCAGACTTTACCAGTGCAGTTTGTCTTTTAATTTCCTGACTGCTGGTATCAAAAGTATTAATTATAGGAATAATTTTTATTAATTTCTTTTTTCCCCTCTTTTTCTTTATTATTATTATTATTATGTATTTTTATTATTAAATTCACTGCCACTGAGTTGATTCTGACTCATGGTAACTCTTAGATTTCTAAGGTTATGCATTCCGCCCCCCCATTCATTCATTGTTGCACTTTTCTCCCCACCTACACCCCCCTCCCCCCCAGTATACTCCCTTCTTTGAAAAGTAAAAGAAAAATTATTTCATTGTTTTATAATCCCTTCCCCAGGTCCATTCCACTATGCAGCCTTTACTCAGGACTCCCGTGATGACAAAAATACCTAATCATGTATCCCTTTTAAACAGTTTTCTCCCTCATCTGTTTCAATGCAGTATACATTATTTATCCCAGCTTTAATTTAATTTCTTTAATAGAGTTATTTACATTTTTTAAACTCTGATGCCTCATGTGTGAGGAATTGTGCTACCAGCCCAGAGGTGGGTGGATTGAATCCCTCATTGGCTCTATGGGCAGTCCTCTCGTTTTTGAAGATTTGCAGCCTCTTAAAACCTGCTGGAGAGTCAGCTGTGTGTCACTTCTGATTAGATAGCAATGACAAGTGTTGTTGTTTGGTTCTGGGGGTGTTTTTGGAGTTCTTCTTAGGGAGCACTAGTGGTATTGTCTGAAAGGAGTTTTATTGCTAACTAACAGCCAAGAGTATCCAATGGTTTCAGTTCACCAGCACCTCCTTGAAAGAAGGATGGGTAGTCTCCTGTCATTAATATTTACAGCCTGGGAAAACCATTAGAGGGTTATGAGTTGGAACCGACTTACTCAGTGGCAGTGAGTGAGCTCTTTTGGGGTCAGTTTTGGTAAGTTGTCTTTTTTTTTGGTAAGTTGTCTTTTTAAAGGCAGTGGTCCATTTCATCTAATTACTGAATTTTTTGGCCTCAGCTTGTTTATAATAGTTATATTCTTTGAATGTCTGTAGAATTTGCAGTGATCACTTTATGTTCTTTTATTCTTAATATTGATAATTTATACTTGCATTTGAAAAAGGAAGCAGTCATGCAGAAGTTCTTTCATGTTATTACTCTTTCTCTCATTGCCATTGAGTTGAAACTGAGTCTTGCCTGACACATGCCCCCTCTCCCGCCCTTGAGTTTCTGAGATTGTAAATCCCATGGAAGAAGATTGCCCATCTTTGTCTTAAGGAGCCACTGGTAGATTCCATTCACCAGAAAGGCATGGGCCTTTGGGTTAGCAGCACAGCTCACTACAGACTAAACTACTAGAGCTCCCTATCAGTCTTCTTGATCTTTATTGAAAACTTTTAACTTTGTTAATTTTAATATTGTTTTCTATTTCATTAACTTCTGCTTTTTGTTATTTCTTCCTATTTGTGTTGAATTTATTCTTTATTTAGCTTAAGGTAGGAAAAAGTTAGAGGCTTAAAGTTACTTAAGAAATAAGGTAGTTGGAAAGACTGCTTTGTACATATTTATTTATCTAATACTTAGACTGTTGGTGAATTACTTGTTGATTGAATACTGAGTAGTGTAATGGAGAATTCAGACAGGGAAACTAAATAATGTCAAGGTGGAGTTTAGGCTTTTTTATTGTCCCCAGAATCTCTTCTACCTAATGAACCTCAGTTTAACTTGTAAAGTTTTAAAGTAAATATTCCGTAACCTTTTACATATCTTACCAGTAAAACTTATTACACTACAATTACTTAATTGCGTTTATATCTGTTTATCTTGTCAGATTCTGGGCTTATTAAGAACCATGTTGTTGTTGGGTTTGCATACCAAAGAGTCGAAATCAACCCATACCTGATCCTCCAATGGGTTTTCAGAGGCAGTTAATCACAAGGGAGGAGATTGCCCATCTTTCTGGTGGCTTTGAACTGCGTGCCTTCATGATTGCAGTGTAGCTTCTTGCCACTTTTGATTTTGGCTCATCATGACCCATTGTGATGTAGTAGAAATTCCCCGATAGGGTATTCTAGTCTGTAAACTTTACAGAAGCAGTTTGCTGGGCCATTCTCCTGTGGACCCAATGGGAAGGTAAATTTGAACTGCTAAAGAGTCTCACCACCAGGCCTATTGGCAGCACCATGATAGAGGGTGAAGAGATTGAGGATGTTAACAATTTTAACTTGATTGGCAACACTCTTGGCACCAGCAATCAGGAAATCAAAAGATGAATTGTACTGGGAAAATCTGTTGTCAGGGACCTCTCCAGAGTACTGAAGAGCAACAGTATCAGTCTAGAGACTAAGGTGCACCTGATCCATGCCATTATCGTCATAATTACTTACTATGCATTAGAGAGCTTGACAATGACTGAAGATGACAAAAGAAGAATTGATGTCTTTTAGTTGTGGTGCTGGAGAAGAGTCTTGAACATACCTTGGACTGCCAGGAGAACAGACGTGTCTGTCTTGGAGACGGTGAAACCAGGTTTTCCTTGGAGTCAAGGATTTTGAATCTCCATCTCACATATTTTGGGCACATGTCCAGGAGGGACCAATCCTTGAAGAAGAACATCATGCTTCGAAGGGGGAGGCTTAGTGCAGGAGGAAAAAACCCTGGGTGAGATGGATTGACAACAGTAACTATGGTATGCCAGAGTCAGAGAGACTGGCTCAGGATAGAACAGGCTTCAGAGCTGTTGTATGAATGTGCTATGATTTGAAGGCTACTTAGTGGCATATAACAACAATAACAGCCTTTAGAACTTAGCAGAGAGCTTTTAATTGTGTTACCAGGACTCCTTTGTTTGTAGATAGCAGTTACTGTTAGGTGCCATCAGTTTAGTTCCAACTCATAGCAACTCTCTATACAACAGAACAGAACACTGCATGGCCCTGGTCTCTTCTCACAATTAATACTCTTTTTGAGCATGTTATTGAGCCACTTTGACAGTCTTCTCTTTTGAGGATATTCCTTTTTTTTGCTGACCCTCTATAAACTACTCTTTAAACCTTCTCTCGGGATTACCCTCTCCTGATGACATTTTCTAAGTATTTGAGACAAAGTCTCGCCAGCCTTGCTTCTGAGGAGCATTCTGGCTGCACTTATTTTAAAACAGATTCGTATGTCCTTCTGGTAGTCCATATTAGTTCAGTATTCTTTAATGGCACCATAATTCATATATGTGGATGATGTTGTATATGATCAAGTCCGAACTGACCCATAGCTGACCTTCCAGTGGGTTTTTAGAGGCAGTTAATCACCCGGGAGGAGATTGCCCAACTTTATTTCGTAGAGCAGCTGGTGTACTCAAATTGCATGTCTTTGGGATGGCAGCATGGCTTCTTGCCACTAGGCCACAAGATCTCCCTCATGTATGTGGATAGTGGCTCTTAATATAGTACTGTCTGAAAAAGACAATAGAGAAGGCAAGATGGAATTTGGAAAATTTCTCAATGACCTTATTGTAGCTTCCATTTACCTATAGATAACTGTAGAACTTTTTTATTTTGGCCACTCTGTGGAGTGACCTAATAGAATATTGGGGATTTTTAAATCCTTATTGACACCTTTAACTCTTCTACCTTCTGATATTTAGAGTGTGATTATGAAACAAGACCAATAGTAACATATAAATAATTGGATTTTTATTGTGTGTAATATGTGCAATTTATTCCTGGGTGATAGCAGAGGGAAGCGAGTGGAGTTATCTGATGATGAGACAAAAGAGTTTGAAAGCATGAAGAAAAAGAGAAGAAGAATCAAACTTCCCGAGTCTGATAGCAGTGAAGATGAAGGTAGGCAATACTCTTCTTTTTTGACTGTGGGACTAATGCTTTATATCATGCCCAAGGAACTGAAATGTAAATTTTTAAAGGTTACAATGACAGGAATAATCAAAGCATAGAGAGGGAGTCCCTGTTTCTCTTTGATAATGACCTTGATCTTTTGATCATTTTACAGATTAACTCAAAGAGAATAAGGGTTTAGTATTTTTTAAGAAAGACTACCCATTTTTCTTCTGTGGAGCAGCTGGTGCATTTGAAACATGTGCCTTTGGGTTGACAGTGCATCTCCTTTCCACTCAGCTACCAGAACTCCAGGTTGATAAGTGGGCTTTACTTAAAATAATTTATGAATCCATATAAGCGAGGATCTTCGCCTGAGAGCAGCAGCAGACAGGGTGAGGACAGCCAGAACACCATCTTCACTGGGGCAGCATCAGCCAGGCAGACAGCAGGCAAAGGTTTGAGACTGCTGGAGTGCAATCTTTGCTAGGATCAGAAGCTAATAAGATTGTGGATGCAAGCCACAGTCGGCCAGAATGCAGTCTTCCCTTTGACTGCAACCAGATGGCAGTCATGACCAGAACCTAAGCCCTCCTCACCAGGAGAAGTCAGTTGACTCAGCCAGATCCTGCTGATAACTGCTCACTTTCTTGTTTTTTATGGTTTGCTCTTAGGAAGTATGTCACGTATCTGCCAGTTTGCTGTATGGGTATTAGGGAGTAGAGAAGGGGATGGCTTGCGTGATGCTCTTACTTTATAATTTGTATATGTGTAAGCTTGCTTGTTCATACTTTATTCTATTCAGAATAATGAATACAGTTCTTGTCTGTCAGTTACTGGACTGAAGTACTGACTCTGAGAAAAATGGGAATCCCAGAACACTTGATCGTTCTAATACGAAACTTATACTTGGACCAGGAGGCAGTCGTCAGAACAGAGCAAGAGAACACTGCATGGTTCAAAATTGGGAATAGCGGATGCCAGGGATGTGTCCTATCTCCATACCTTTTCAACCTATATGCAAAAGAGATTATCCGGGAGGCTGGGCTCTATGAGGAGAAATATGGGGTCAAGATTGGTGGACGATTTATCAATTTATCAACAATCTGCGTTACGCAGATGACACAACCCTGCTTGCTGAAACTGAAGAGGACTTGAAGCACCTGCTGCAGAGGGTCAAGGACTGCAGCCTCCAATATGGATTGAGGCTCCATGTCAAGAAGACAAAGATTCTAACCACTGGACCAATTGGCAGCATCAGGATGGATGGTGAAGAGATTGAGATTGTACACAGCTTGAATTTGCTTGGCTCCACAGTCAACAGTCTTGGCACCAGCAGCCAGGAAATTAAAAGGCGCATTGCCATGGGAAAGTCTGCTGTTAGGGACCTCTTCAAAGTACTGAAGAGCAATGGTGTCTCTCTGAAGACTAAGATGCGTCTGATACAGGCTATGGTCTTCGCAATCAGAGAGTTGGACAATGACCAAGGAGGATAGAAGGAGAATTGATGCCTTTGAGCTGTGGTGCTGGAGAAGAGTATTGAGAATACCATGGACTGCTAGGAAAACAAACAGATTTGTCCTGGAAAGGGTTAAACTGGGTGGCTCCTTGGAGGCAAGGATTCTGAGGCTCCGTCTAACATACTTTGGACATGTTGTGAGGAGAGACCAGTCCTTGGAGCAGGACATCATGCTTGGGAGGGTGGAGGGACAGCGCAGGAGGGGAAGTCCCTCTATGAGGTGGATTGATTCAGTGACTGGGATAATCGGGATTGGGAGTGTCAGACAGTTTGATTGGCACAGGACAGAGCAGAGTTTAGGGCTGTTGTACATAGGGTTGCTATGAGTCGCAGGCAACTCGACGGCACATAACAACAACAACAATAATGCTAAAAGCTGTGCCACTGGTATTTTAATACCAGGTCACACATGGTGGTTAGGATTTAGTGGCGTTTCCAGACTAAGAAGATGGACTGGCCATCCACTTCTGAAATAAATGGCTTTTGAAAGTCCTAAGAACAATTCAGAGAAACAGTGTTAGACGTAGTAATAGAGAGCTTTAGCATGGAAGATATTAAATAAGAAACAGCTGTAAATATCCATAAATAATTAGAACATAAAATGTACGAAGTATCAATCTAGGAAAAGTGGAAATTGTCCAGAATAAAATGGAATATTAAATAATTAGAACATAAAATGTACAAAGTATCAATCTAGGAAAAGTGGAAATTGTCCAGAATAAAATGGAATATAGAAAGATTGATGTTCTAAGAATTAGCAAGCTGGGATGGACAGCTTTGACAATTTTTAACTAGACAATCATATGATCTATTATACTGGGAATGAAAAATTGAGGAAGAAGGGTGTTGCATTCATAATCATAAAGAATGTTTCGAGGTCTGTCCCAAAGTACAACACTGTGAGTGATAGAATACAATTCATATGCATACAAAGAAGACCTGTTAAATCACTGTTACTGAAAAGAAGTCCACCATCAGCCAAGGCTAGACATGAAGGTGAGGAATTCTACCACCTTTTGCCATCTGCAATTGACCAAATATGTTGTTAAGGTGCATTAATAATAGTTGGTGACTAGATTGCAGTAGTTGGAAAGAAGGTAGAAGAAATGATGATTGGGAGCTCTGGTGGCCTAGTGGCAAGAAGCTGCAACTGCAATGCCGGAGGTTCACGGTTTGAATCCACCAGATGCTCTCCTGGAGGAGGAGGGGCAATCTCCTCCTATACCAGTCAGATCTGATTTGACAGAACATGCACCAAAAATAATAATAAAAATATTGTGTAAAAAAAAAGAAATGATGATTGGAAGTTATGGACATGGGGGCAGAAATGAGACTGAAAATTGACTGATTTAATTCAAGAATTTATTCATAGCAAATACCATTTTTAAGAAACGTAGACTGCAAGTATACATGTGGACTTCACCTGATGGTCAGAACAAGGCCAAGTACTCCCTGTGGAATGGAGTATCAGAATAGACTATTTTACTCATAAACAAGTTCAAACTGAAGTTGAAGAAATGAAAATAAGTCTGCAAGAACCAAAGTATAACCTTAGGTCTCTCCCAATTGATTTTAAAATTCTCTCAAGAATGAGTTTGAGACATTGAAATGATCAAAGACCTGATGAGTTGTGGGATGACATAAAAAAAAAGATAATCTGTAAAGAAAGCAAAAGATCATTACCAAGACAGGAGAAATAAAATAAAAATGGATGTCAGAAGAGATTCTGAAAATTACACTAGAGCATCAAAAAGCCAAAGCAAAGAGAAGAGATAAGGAAGTAAAAGAGTTGACCAGAAGATTTCAAGGGCAGCTTGAGAAGACAGAATATTATAATGGAATGTGCAAAGAGGTAGAATTGGAGAATAAAAAGGGAAGCACTTGCTTGGCATTTCTCAAATTGAAAGTACTAAAAAGCAAATTCAAGCCTCGAGTTGCAATGGGGAAAATTGTGAATGATCTAGGAGGCATCAAAAGAAGATGGAGGAAATACATGGAATCACTATAAAAAAAAAAGGATTGGTTAACACTGAAATATTTCTGGAGGTACCATATGACCAAGAGCCAATAATGATGAAGGAAGACATGAAAGCTGCATTGAAGATATTGGCAAAAAGTAAGGCCCCTAGGAATAGATGGGATAACAACTGACATGTTCCAACTAATAGATTGCAGCCTTGGACGTGCTCACCACTCTATGCCAGAAAATTTGGAGGACAGCTCTTTGGCCGACTGACTGGAAAAGATCCATATTTGTTCTCATTCCCGAGAAAAGTAACCCACCAGAATGTGGAAATTACCAAACAATGTAAGTAATAACACATGCAAGCAAAAAATCTGGGATATCCATTACTGATGTCAGCTGTATCTTGGCTGAAAGCAGGGAATACCAGATGAATGTCTATTTGTTTTATTGACTATGTGAAAGCATTTGGCTTTGTGAAACATAACAAGCTATCACTAACATTGAGAAGAATTGGAATTCCAGACCACTTAATTATGCTTATGCAAAACCTATACCTAGACCAAGAAGCTGTTCTCTGAACACTGGAGATTTAAAATTGGAAAAGATGTGTGTTAGGACTGTATCCTTTCTCTATACCTATTCAAGCTGTATGCTGAGCAAAGCATTCAAGAAGCTATACTTTATGAAGAAGAGTATGACATCAGGATTGGCTTATCAACAACTTTTATTAACAGATGATACCACCTTACTTGCTCCAAGCAAAAAGGACTTGAGGCACCAGAGGTTCAAGAACTGCAGCCTTCAAATGGATTACACCTCAACATCAAGAAAACAAAAATCCTCACCACTGGGCCAGTAGGCAACATCATGATAGATGAAGAAAAGATTGAAATTGTCAGTGATTTCATCTTATTTGGATCCATAATCAACATCCTGACCAGCAGTCAGGAGATCTGGAGATGTATAGCATTGGTAAAGTCTACTGTCACGGACCTTTCCAGAGTCTTGAAGAACAGTGAGGTCTCAAAAACCTGATGGAAGGTTGCTATGAGTTGGAACCAACTGAGTGACATTTGGGAGATTTGTTGGTTTTTCCCCCTTAGAAATCTTGTGGCACTATAGTTAAAGTACACAGCTGCTAACTAAAAAAAAGATGAGTAGTTTGAAGAGAGGGTACACCTGATTCAAACTATGGTCTTTCCAGTTATCTATTATGCATCTGCTCAACAGTGAATAAAGATGACAGAAGAAGATTTGATGCCTTTGAGCTGTGCTGTTGAAGAGTGTTGACTATCCCATGGACTGCCAAAAGAGCAAACGTGTGTGTGTCTTAGAGAAAGTAAAAACAGTTCTCCTTGGAGGCAAGGATGTGAAGCTTTGTCTCACATACTTTAGGCACATTGTTAGGAGAGGCTATTCCTTGGAGAGGGACATCATGCTTGGAAAGGTGAAGTGTCAGCAAAATCCTCAACGAGATGGATTGATACAGTGTCTGCAGCATTGGACTTAAGTGTGTTGGGAATG